CATGGTCAAATAATTTTTTTTAGAATCTTCAATTTGAGCTGGTGGTCAAACGAGGGCATACATTTTTTTTCTCGAAAAATTAATTTTTTTTTATACTTTTGCAGAGCAATGGGTATTATAATTTCAGTCAGAAGTTTGCAACGCAGTGAAGGAGACACCTCAGACACGAAGGATCTTACACTGTCACTACTCTTTGTTAGTTTTAGCTGTCGCCTTAACAACGTTGCTAGAGAGAGAGAGAGAGAGAGAGTCGAAGTGCAATGCCGACGTCACACTGCGAAAGCAGACCTCATAGCCTATTCCAGGAGATGTCCCGTTATAATTTCTAATTGTTTCTGCTTTTTATACCCTTGCAGAGCAAAGGCGATATATATTAAATCTTTAAATATTTAAAAGCAATCTATATTAATTAAATTAGAACACTCTGCGAGGGCATACAAATAGTAGATAAAGGGGAATGCCAATGTTCAAATAAAGTGATTAAATAAATGTGAGGATATATTTTTTAAAAGCTGTTTTAATAAAACAACAACACCAATCAATCAAAATGCAACAGGTAAAAAAAACTATTTTAAATGTAAAATGTTAATTAAAATCCATTTAATATTAATATAATGTTAATTTAATGTTGAAATAATGTTAATTTAATATAATGTAAATGTAATGTTAACTAAATGTTAATTAAATTATTATGGCCACGTCAGCGACAATGATAATTAATTATTTTTTTCGTTTTCTTGCACCTATAATTCCCAAGTGGTTCTGGCAGATTCGTAGTGGGATACCCCTTGATTTTGGCCAATTTCTCATTTCTCCGGGATGACCGGCAGTTTCTCTAAGAAACTTTTTCCGGTCTCTGGAAGTGTGTGTGTGTGCGTGTGTGTTAGTGTCGTGGTTCCAGAGTGGGAGAGAGTATCTGGCCAACTCCTCCTCCTACTGGAGTCTACTCCCGGATGCAGTGCACCATGGGTCGACTCCTCCTACTGGAGTCCACTCCCGGATGCAGTGCATCATGGGTCGACTCCTCCTACTGGAGTCCACTCCCGGATGCAGTGCATCTTGGGTCGACTCCTCCTACTGGAGTCCACTCCCGGATGCAGTGGACCATGGGTCGACTCCTCCTAGGATGCACTGCATCATGACCTGACTTGGCATGAACTTAAAGGTGCCCGATCCCTTCCTGCATGTAGTGGACTCCAGGATGCAGGGCATCCAAACCGGAAAAGGTGAGTTGCAGTTTTTTTTAATTATGTGATGACGTGGCTTTTGTAAAAAAAATGCAGTTAATTAATTCAATTTTTTTTATTTTTTTTTATCAGGTTTTTGGTTGTGTATTTGGCTGATTGCAGAAAATAATTGGTGAGACCATCCAACTTGTAACTTTAAGTTCGACATCAGGATGCACTGCACCAAGGTTATTACGCAGTGAGTACATCCTTTAGACAATAAATAATTAAGTTATATATTTTAAGAAATCATAAATATTTTGACAAAGAAATTAAAAGCAACAGATAAAGATCTGAAAGTTTTCAAGAACATGAAAGAAATTTGAAAGGTAAATTTTATCAAATATTGAACTTGAAGTACATGAAAATCAAACACAATTAATAATTGTAAACAAGTAGGGACATATAATATAAATATATGTAGTAAGAATAGTTGTAAGAATGCGGTTATCGGAGATATATAGTATGCTGACACCACATAAATGGACTGGACAACAGACTGCAGGATCAGTTATGAATGGCGTGATCTTCTATTGAACTCCACTCCAGGATGCAGTGCATCACCTCATTGGGGTATGTATTTTTTAAACAACCGATTTGTATAAAATAATTTAACTAATATTTTGGAATGCTTCTTTTCATTACAGGTGATGACTATACCTTTCTACTTGGAGTGTACTTCAAGATGCAGTGAATATAAAACCCAAAGAGGTAAATACCTTTTTTACTAACAAAATAATTCTAACTATTATTATTTGTAACATATTATCTATACTAATCTATACTAATATCTATACTAATCTATACTAATATTATATCTATACTAATAACTATACTATAACTATACTATACTAATACTAATATACTAATATACTAATAATATTATAATTATAATATTATAATTTATAATAATATTATAAAGAGGTAAAATTTGTTTGTTTGTTTGTTTGTTTGTTTGTTTGCAGGGAATAGGCTCCGGAACTACTGGTCCGATTTAAAAAATTCTTTCGCCGATAGAAAGCTATACTATAGTGGAGTTAAATAGGCTATAATTTATTTTGAAAAAAACTAGGGATCCGTAAGAAAATTGCAATATTGTCGCATATAAAGTGAGTTGCTACCTCATCATACTGACAAACACGCTCCCATAGCATTTTAACTCAATTTTTGTGTTCACTGTGAAATTGTGAAAAAAAAAGAATTTTTATTCAATTTAAGTTGAACTGTGAAAATTATGTGGATCGTGCATTTGAGGATAAATTCACCACTCTGTCCATAGTCCAAAATGCTTAGAGGACGACGTGCAAACATTGGCCGCAGACATCCAAGCCAGCAGCCAGTATATTCACAAAACTTAAGCGAAGAAAGACAAATGAGCACATGGAGATCATTGGCATCATGCAATCGCTTGGCATTCCAATATGACCCCACTGCGAACTACAGTGATAATGAAAATTTAGATATTGGACCAATGGCGACTATATACCGATATTGCAGTGCGTTAAAGTTTAAAAGAGAAACGGCTGGATTGTGCTGCGCAAGTGGAAAAGTAAAACTGGAAAAGTGTTAAATCACCATCTTTCTATACTTCCATATATTTGAAAAATGTTGCAACATTGACTTTTATGTTGTTAAATTGTGTTGACCAGCGAAGCGGACACAGGACCTCTAGTTTATTATATTTTGTTTGTTTTTTTATTTAATTTCAGGGTAAAGTGTTAAGTGTAAATGTTGCGAATAAAGTGGTTGCGGTGATTATCTTACTTCAAGAAGACGAAAGATTGCAGTGCAGATCAAGGAGCTAACTGAGTAAGTACCAATCTGAAAAGATTTATTTATGATAATCTCATAATTATTTAAGTAGTTGTTACATTAAGTTGGAAAATGCTTAACTTGGGAAGTATTTGGGAGAGTTAATATCTGTCTATTTAAATATAAACTGATTTAATTGGGCCGTGGTAAAGGCGGGATTTCTCTTCGTTTTTCTTCGATATACTCTATATGCAGGGCCGGAGAAACAGTTTTGAGTGGGGTGATGACCTCACAAATTTTCAATACCCCCAAAATCGGATTTTCTGTTTTTTCCCCCCTTTCGAAATTTGCACAAAATGGATTTGCAGAAAAATTATCAGATCCCAGCACTTTTAGGCGCATAACCTTTCTAATTTTTATTCGATTTACAAGTGGCATATCGCCCTTATGCATTTTGATCGACTACAAGGGTATATAAGCTTCGGCTTGCCGAAGCTAGCTTTCTTGTTTTTATTTATTTATTTATAAAGAGCTAACAAATGAAAATGATTTCTAAAGCCATTTATCACAAAGGACGTGATTTATATATTTTTTTTTCGATCTTTCCTATGGCAGCTATATGATAGAGTTATCCGATTTTGATAAAATTTAATTCGAAATTCGAAAGTAGTTAATAAACACCATATGAAAGAAACCAAGTCGATCCGATCAAAAACAACAGAGTAAGAATTTTATTTTATCAATCTCTCGTATGGGAGCTATCCGATATAGTCGGCCGATCCGGCTCGTTCCGACTTATATACTGCGTGCAATAACTACACAACTTTTGGGAAAGTTTCAGTAAGATAGCTTTAAAACTGAGAGACAAGTAAACAAACAGACGGACCGCCGGACAGACGGACAGACGTACGGACGGATTTCGATTCAAATCGTGGTGCTGATCAAGAATTTGTATACTTTATAGGGTCTGAGGTGCCTCCTTCACTGCGTTGCAAACTTCTGACTGAAATTATAACACCCTTTGCTCTGCAAGGGTATAAATATAATATTAAAAAATATAAAGTTTTCTAATGACTCTTGAATTTCAAATTTAATTTTATCAAAACCAACGACTATATATATCTTTCGCATGAACAATCTTCGCAAATACAGAAACTTCATAGAAAAAACGACAGAGCTTCGATGTTGTAGTACTTGATTCGACATATTTGATTACTGCAAGGGTATATACGTATATAGCTCCTTTCTTGTTTTATAGTTGTTATTAGCTGTAAGCAATGGAGTAATCTCTTCAAACCTACCTATTCTGGCTATCCTTTTTATAAAGGCTTTATTAAATGATATATTTGGGTTATAAGAACATGAACATTTTTTGTTGTAGGGGATATTCAAATAAATTAATCATTTTACAGTAGTTATGTCACGAGTTAGTTTTAACCTGGTTTGAGAAAATAACGATTTAATTGGGCACTCATGTATTAAAGCACGTGCTCTGATATGCAATGCCAAATTCAATTAACATACATCAATTTTGGTGGAAAAGTTAATTTAATTAAAAGCAGCATTCAACAGTCAAATATTTTGAATAGCTTTACATTCTCGTGGAAATATTGGGGTGAATCTCTGACACAAGAACTACGCAGGCGTAGTGTGTTGGAAACGCCTCTTGGTATTGGGAAAGTTTTACCTCATTGGCCTGTTTCTACGTCAGTGTATATAAATTCTCGTTCTTTTGTGGTGTTTTCTTTGTCCTTGTTCCCTTATTGGCTGCCATTTGACTAAGGGTATTTGGTATTTAAGATGTTTCAAGTCTGCATCTGATTTGGTCTCTCACTACCGCGTTGTCAATATCAACAAAAAGTGTGCTTCATATTCAGTTTTCAAAGCTATTTCGTGATGCGATATTCTAGTCCTCAGAGAAAAACGCGCCAGTCTCACAATTTTAAATAATATTTTGTGAAAACCTCGTTACATCGGAGCAAAACAATGTCATTTCGAAGGACTATGAGTGTTATAAAAATATAGAAAACGATGATATGGAAAAATATCATACGCAAAATGTATGATCTAAGAATGTACCCTGTAGGACTTTAAAGCAAAAAACACCTAATCCTGAAGCAAGGTGTTTTCACGCAAACATAAACCATAAATTAAAATATAACAAATCGCAATAAAAGCGATTTTTATGTGACTTATTATTAAAAATCGTATATCTCCATACTTTATACCAACTCGATAAATTTCGCTTCAAGCTTTTCGCCCTGTTTTATGTAATAAGAAAGAGGTTACAAGCCCTAAAAGTAATCCTTACGTACAGGAAATTCAAATAAAAATGACATCGGTAAGTGACCAGAAGCAGAAGTCTAAGTAATAAAGAATTTCGAATCGAACCAAAAACGGCTTGAGTGTATACATATATAAATTGTCATAGTTTATAATTTTGGTTTGTGTACCTCTCATATTGCATTTATGTCACATCTTTACATCGCAGTAAAGAAGAAATTTTCAACCAAAAAGGCTTTCTTGAAATAATAATAATTTATTAAAAACAAGAAAGGGAGCTAGCCTCAGCCAGCCGAAGCTTATATACCCTACCTACGTCGAACAAAATACACAAAGGCTAAACAACATCGAAGTTATGACTATTATTATACCCTAGCAGAGCAAAGGGTATTATAATTTAGGCCAGAAGGCAGTGAAGTAGTAGACACCTCAGACCCCAGAAAGTACATATATTCTTGATCAGCATCACGATCTGAATCGAAATACGTCTGTCCGTCTGTGCGTCTGTCCATCTATCCTCCTGCCCGTTTCTATACAATCTGGATGAAACTTTCCCAAAAGTAGTTAGTTATTGCACGCAGTATATAAGTCGGAACGGCCGGATCGGCCGATTATGTCGGATAGCTCCCATACGAGAGAAAATAAAAAAACTTAATATTTTGAAAATCCTGCTTGTGGGATTAAATTATCCGATTTTGATAAAATTTAATCCAAAACTCAATAATAGTTAGAAAACGCAATCTGGAAAAAATCAAGTCAATCTGATCAAAAACAACGGCGTTTTGCAAAGCAAAAGGATATTCTAATTTCCGTCAGAAGTTTGCAACGCAGTGAAGGAGACACCTCAGACCCCATAAAGTATATATATTCTTGATCAGCGTCACCATCTGAATCGAAATATGTCTGAAAAAAAAACACCGGTAGCACTCCGGGAGTGCCGGCAGAAGTGAAAACTCTTCAATATTAACGTTGTGTTTAATTAGAAGTATAAAAGTACTATCATTTATGAGAGAGGTAGAATACAATGTTTATTTATTGCGCTATCGTACACAAATATGGCAATTTATATGTTGTTATTTATAATATTATATCGTTATTTATATATTACATTAAATTTTATATCTCAGAAAAATCAACTTCCATCCATAATTTCGACGACTTTTACACCATCGTTATTATCAGAATCATCATCGCAAATTTTTGCAACTGATACAATTGGTTTATGATAACTGAAGTAAGAAACAAGCAGTTTTGATTCGAACCTATTTAAGTGTAAGTACAAGCATGGTACAACTACACAAGGTAGTCCCGTCGGCTCGTTACTCCCCTATCGACACTACAATTAGAGCGAGAGAAAGAGTGTTTTCCTACGAAAACCAGAGCGTTCGGGTCGATAGGGGAGTGAACCCGAACAATTCTGCTGCCGACGGGACTACCTTGTATAATTGCACCATGAGTACAAGGTAGTCTCGTCGGCTTTTTTTTCCCCTATTGGGCACTACAATGAGTGCGAGTGAGAGGGTGTTTTCCCGTAAGTGCGAAAGAAACAGAACAAGATGATGTCGTTTACCCTTATGCTGTGCACGGGGCTTAAAAAGGACTGTTATATGACCATGAGTATTAATTTTTCCGAAATTTTCGGTTTTTACACAAAGCTGCCCTTCAGGACTCGCTCCCATATTGTTCACATTTCAAAATATTTTTCTGCAATATTACATGTTACTCCTTGTATGTGCTTGCTGCAATAATTGCAACAAGTATTTTTCACAAGCACACAAGGGTTAACATTTTGCAGCCGACGAGACTACCTTGTATAATTGTACCATGACTCAGGCACGGTAGAAAGAGTGGGAGATACTATTTCCTCTCCCTTCCCCTTGATCTTACGCTTTTTCGATCAGCATAACGGGACCCTGACGCGAGTTTGAAAGTTTTTACCCATACAAAAAAAGTGCTCAGCGCCGCTAAGAAAGTTTTCACTTCAAAAACGCCATCTGGAAGAAATCAAATCAATTCGACGAAAAACATCGTCTTCCTTTATTTTTTTGACCTCTTGTTTGGGAGCTGTCCGATATAGTCGGCCGATCCGGCTCGTTCCGACTTATATACTGCGTGCAATAACTACACACCTTTTGGTACAGTTTCAGCACGATAGCTTTAAAACTGAGAGACTAGTTTGCGTAGAAACGGACAGACGGACAGACAGACAGACGTACCTGCGTATTTGGATTCTGATCGTGATGCTGATCAAGAATATATATACTTTATCGGGCCTGAGGTGTCTCCTTCACTGCGTTGCAAACTTTTGACTGAAATTATAATACCCTATTGCTCTGCGAGGGTATACAAATAGTAATAGTTTCGATGTTGTTTGGCCCTTATGCATTTTGATCGACATATTTGATGACTGCAAGGGTATATAAGCTTCGGCTGGTCGAAGCTAGCTTCCTTTCTTGTTTTTCAAATTAAATACTGCGTGCAATGACTACGCACCTTTTGGTTAAGTTACAGAAAGAAAGTTTTAAAACTTTGAAACTAGCTTACATATAAATAGGCAGACGAACAGAGGAAAGATGTAAACGTTTAGATCGATTTAGATGCTGATTAGGAGTTATCGAGTCTTAAATTACTACATATATCCTTTCCAAGGGAATAATTTCAAATGGAAAACATAACTACTATACTGTATACATTATTGCTGCCGTCGTTAGAATCAAGCTTACAACAGAGAAAACTTGTGTTGCTTTAGAATACAAGTGTCATGCGTTTTATTATTGAAATCTAAATGGAAGTAGGAAAATATTTTGCGACATCTGACTAAAATATTTCTCCCCTTGGACAACATTTTTACATTGGGTGAAGCCGATGCAAGCTTTATTCTAGTTATTTGTGATCATCTAGCAGATTAGATTAAGGAACGTAGAATATAGAATTGTGGATAACCCATACATTATCCACTTACCTCTATACTTTGGAAACTAAATCAAAAAGAACGCCATTAGGGAATCGGCACTTGAAATCAGTTATTGTTTCTGTGACTGCGAGCTTTTAGTCTGAAAAGCAAAACTAATTAGACAAGGTAAACTCAATTATCCGCACATTTCATTTCCAAATGTTAATCGCCAAGCAATTTAACCCAATTAAATATACATGATGTTATACGTGTAAACAAAAGGCCAACGCTGAGCCCGGCACCGGCACCAGCAGCGACAAGCTGTGTAATAAAGTTTGTCCGCCCTTAAATAGAACACCTATTATTTGCCTGTTGACAGTAACCACTCAAGCGAATTATTGCCAACTCATCAGTGGGCATTTTAGTCTATTTTTTATCTACCCCAGCGCATCTACATTTGTATTCACGTTCGTCAAATGGCATATGCTTCTGAAATCCACCCCCGGGCCTTTCGAAACGTAATCGTTTTCGATTTTAATAGGCCCTCGTGCATGTACAATTGGATGACTGTAGACGAGTGTACTCTTCCCATTTGAAATATGAAACCTGTACAAGCAATAGAAGTGAAAGTCAATGGCACTCCCTGTCCAAACAAACACTCAAATTAATTAGGGATAATTGAATTTATGCTCAAAACGCGCTTTTATTGCCAAGTTTCGAGATTATAGTATTTTCTTTACCCTTTTTAATAAGCAAGTGTAATCGTTTAGTTTTCTCTATACCTCAATTCAATAACTTATCTTATGTTATACAAAATACAACTAAGCAAAACAAAGGATTTTAATATCCTTATAGAAATAAAATTTTAGGATTGCTACCACCCCATAAAGTGAATATATTTTCAATTAGCATCACCTTTCTTGTAGATATAGACATCTTAGACTAGAGATGTATAGTAATTCGCTTATTTATTAACAAGAAAGTTATCAAATATGTCGAACAAAATAAACAAAGGCTGAACAACATCGAATCTATGTCGGTGTTTCTATTAATTTTCCATATTTTCGAAAAATATTTATTATGGCAACTGTATGATATATTATATTCGTCCGATTTAAAAAAATTTTTGTTTTAATTCAAAAGTCTAATTTCCAAAAATCATGATTATCTGATGAAAAACAACATTTCATTTTATTCCCGTTAATTCTATATAGATTTATTCCACGAGATTTTTAGAACATAAGCTTTCTTAACTACCCTTGATTCGAGAAAAAAAATTTCATAAAAATCTGACAATTCTATAAGACAGCTACCATAGAAACGATCGAAAAATCTATATAGAATTAAAGGAAATAAAACTACTACATCGTTGTTTTTCATCAAACAAGCATATTTATTGAATTATAGTGTTTCCTAATGAATCTTTATTTTCGAATTAAATTTCATAAAAACCGAACGACAATATCTAAACTATATACTACTATATAAACTTGTTTCTTGTTTTCCATTATTTCTGTATACATTTTTCGATCTTTCCTATGGCAGTTATATGGTTTAGTTATTCAATTTTGATAACATTATAATACCCTCTGCAAGGGTATAAATATTATATAAATATAACATTGTTTAAGTATACTCCCAAAACAAAGTTTTAGTCTTGTATTTACAAACAACCCTGCAAAAAATGCGCTAACCTAAGGCTCTCGTTCCAGAATACTCATTTTCCGCCGAATGTCTGAGTACATCTGCCAGATTGTTAACAATCTGCCGTTTTTCTAAATACTAATATAATTTTGTCATTATTTACCTCACTGGTTTGTAATTCGTTCCACCCTCGGTTTCCCTTCCCGTTGAGGAATCCCTTAATCATTTGTTCCCTTTCTGTTGGCAATTTAAGCGTGGGCATGCCGTAACAAAGGCATTAAGCTTAACAATCTGTACTTTATAACTTTTTGCTAACCTTATTATCTCTAACGAAATGGTCTCTAGGGACAGGCTCCTTTCAATTATGCCATTCACACGCATTCTTTAATTGAATAAGGGAGTTTTCACATAAGAAGTGAGAGTTCTGATTCCAATTTATGTTGAATAAATTTGTAGTAAAAGGTAATACATATGTATATGTATATATAAGGCTAACATCACATTTTGATGTTGTTATTTTGTTAACGTGCTATAAAAACGAACGTTGAATCTTAAAAACAGTTAACAGTTATTTTCTAAAATCTTTGATATCAAAAGGTCTCCTGTTATTTGTTCAAGGCCACTATCTTACACTTCTCAAATTATTTATGTCTTGTATCGATTTTATTATGGAAGTTCAAATTTCCATTATACCTACGTTCTTACAAATATATTGTTGTAATATATCTGTATCTGTATATCTGTATCTACATTAACTAGTCTCTTACTTTTAACGCCATCTCTATCTTGCACGCAGCTTATAGGTCAGAACGGGGCGGATCGAGCGACTATATCGGATAGCTTCCATAAAAGAGATTGAAAAAACAAGAAAGGAAGCTAGCTTTGACGAGCCGAAGCTTATATACCCTTGCAGCCATCAAATATTTCCCACAAAATACATAAATTTTTACCAACATCATAGCTATGACGATTTGTTTATTAACTTTCTATATTTTCGGCGATTGTTCATATGGCAGCTATTTGATACAGTGGTCCGATTTTTATACCCTTGCAGAGGGTATTATAATTTCAGTCACCTCGCCCCATAAAGTACATAAATTCTGGATCAGCATACTAGCTTCCTTTCCTGTTTAATTATTTTATTTCTTTAAAATTATTTTAATATATTTCGTTCCTGATTTCTCATCAAAGTATTTCATTTTGTTTCTTCTAGTGCTTGCTAAACAAATTTCCTTTATCACTCCAACCGGAAGCATAGGGCCTCTACAACTTATAGTGGATTCAATAATCATTGGTATTTTCGATCGAACTGGTGATTAGCCAGAAGCGGCTTACCCTAGTGGTGGGGTTGCCTAATCTAATTTGTGTTGTTATTGTTAAGTGAGCGGTAGGGCATAGAAGTGATGGAGTTTGGAAAAGGAGACCGTTTCTTTTTGTCGGGGAGCCTGGGAATCGAACCCAGGTCTTCTCGGTTCGGAAAGCAGCGCTCTACTTGCTGGTCCACCGACTCCCCCAATATACCTACATATACAGGCGACAGCCTAATTTATTATATATAAGCACATCGGTTCTTGTCTGAAAAGATGGCTCGAATAAGTTTAAGGGCGCCAAACCACTTAAAGCAGGACAAATGTTTCCTCGGGGAATTAATTGCTACGTGCTCGGCTTTATTATTTGTATGTCTTTTAAGAAAAATTTCAATTGAGAAAAGAATCTAAGCCCTTTTCTAAAATAATCTTACCTAATATTCTATAAAATTGCACGATTTTATTTTTGAATTAAAAAAAAACAAGAAAGGAAGCTAGCTTCGGCAAGCCGAAGCTTATATACCCTTGCAGTCATTAAACATATCGAACAAAATACATAAAGGCTAACAACATCGAAGCTATGACGACTTTTCTATTAATTTTCCATATTTTCGACTATTGTTCATATGGCAGCTATATGATATAGTCGTCCGATTTTGATGAAATTTTTTTCTCGGTTCAAGGGTAGTTCATAAAGTCGATGTTGTAAAAATCATGCTCGTGGAATAAAAAACAACAACGTTGTGATTATTTTGCCATTATTTCTATATATATTTTTAGATCTTTCCTATGGCAGCTATATGATAGGGTTATTCGATTTTGATAAAATTTAATCCGAAATTTAATACCCGTTAGAAAACGCCATCTTGAAGAATTCAAGTCGATCTGATCAAAAACAACGGCGTAATAATTTTTTATCCTTTATTTTTTTTAACCTCTTGTATGGGAGCTATCCGATATAGTCGGCCGATCCGGCTCGTTCCGACTTATATACTGCGTGCAATAACTACACATCTTTTGGGAAAGTTTCAGCAATATAGCTTTAAAACTGAGAGACTAGTTTAGGCAGAAACGGACAGGAGGACAGACGGACAGACGGACAGACGGACAGACGGACAGACAGACAGACGGACAGACGTACAGATGTATTTCGACTCAGATCGTGATGCTGATCAAGAATATATATACTTTATGGGGTCTGAGGTGTCTCCTTCACTGCGTTGCAAACTTCTGGCCAAAATTATAATACCCTTTGCTCTGCAAGGGTATAAAAAACATTTTAATATAAAATCTAAGAGGTGTTTTATTTTTAGTTTGTCCAATTTTCGACGATTGTTCATATAACAGACATATGATAAAGTCGTCCGGTTTAAATGAAATTTAGTTCAAAATCCGCCAAAAAAAATTTGAAAATCTGAAAACATAATGGTTTTGATTTTGATTATTATAATAATGTTGAACATCGTGAAAAAATCTGGAATAATTAAAGTTAACTATTTCAGGTAAGCTCCGTTTTGCTGTACGGAGTGCCAATTGTGTCGTTGTACATCGAGAACCAGGAGCGCCTCTGCCTTGCACAGATCTCGAATACTTTACTAAAGCAATTCAGTTACAATGAGATACATAACAGAAGGGTTGCGCTTGGCATCACATGTGTCCAGTGTACCCCCGTGCAATTGGAGATTTTAAGAAGAGCTGGTGCCATGCCAGTGAGTTCCCGACGCTGTGGAATGATAACGCGAAGAGAAGCGGAGCGACTGTGTAAGAGTTTCCTGGGCGATAACACACCGCCGCGACTTCCAGACGATTTCGCATTCAACGTCCAGCACAAATGTGCTTGGGGCTGCCGCGGATCATTCCTACCTTCTCGATACAACTCGTCAAGGGCAAAGTGTATAAAATGTTCATATTGCGGAATGTTTTTCTCGCCAAATAAGTTTATTTTCCATTCGCATCGCATAACAACTAATGACCGGTATGTTCAGCCCGATGCGGCGAACTTCAATTCCTGGCGTCGGCACATGACACTAAGTGGAAATGCCTACGATGAGAAAATTATTCATGCCTGGGAAGATGTCAAGGCAATGTTTAATGGTGGCACTAGAAAACGACTTGTTAGCAGCACCATTAGTAATATAAACCAAGGCTCGCCAACGTCACCATCGTCCGTTCCTGGAATTGGCGGAAGTTCCTGCAGTTCACCAACGAACTTCGAAAAAGATGTCAAGGACAGTGAATGCGAAAGGTGAGAATCAAAAAGTTTATAGAAACAAAGTGCCTACATCAAATGTGCGATCGTTGATATTTGTGTAGAAACTCATATTGGTCATCAGATGATTTTTTACTGGTCCGTCCGTCTGTGTTTATTTTCAATAAATATATGAAATTTTCAGAAATTCTTTTTTAAAACAAGAAAGGAAGCTAGATTCAGCGAGTTGAAGGTTATATACCTACCCTTGCAGTCATCAATTATATCTAGCAAAATACACAAAAGCTAAACAGCATTGAAGCTATGACGATTTTTCTGTTGATTTTCTATATTTTCGATGATTGCACATATGACAGCTACATATATGAGATATAGTCATCCGATTTTAATAAAATTTAATTCGAGATTCAAGAGTCATTAGAAAACTCTATATTCTAAAAATCATGATTGTCTGATAAAAAACAACGATGTTACAATTTTATTTTCGTTAATTCTATATAGATTTTTTGTTCTTTCCCATGACAGCTATGTGATATACATAGTTTTTCGATTTTTATGATTTTTTTTCCTTGTTTAAAGGGTAGGTAAACAACTTGAAATTCTAAAAATCATGTCAATATGATAGGAAACAACAACGTTATGGCAGTTATATGAAATTATCCGATTATCCGACGTACAGACGTACAAACGTATTTCGATGCAGATCGCGATGCAGATCGCGATGCTGATCAAGAAGATATATACTTTATGGGGTCTGAGGTGTCTCCTTCACTGCGTTGCAAACTTCTGACTGAAATTATAATATCCTCTGCAGGGCTATAAAAAATGACATCATCGTTGTTTTTCACTAGACTGTAAAGGTGCAGTCTGACCGCCATACTCATATTATTTACTCGTTGTCCTAGTTAAGCAACAGATCATCATCATTTAAGAAAATAAATTTTTTCGAAATTTTCATGGACTCCCCCTGTTGGGTCAGTAAGCTTTTTTACTAACCGTTACCTTGTGCCCAAGTAAATAAAAAACGCACAAATTTTAGATTTAAATTGCACTTATTTATTACTGGCACCAAGGCCTTAAATTCACAGAGTTATTGTTTGTTGGTTTGAATTAGGCAGGCAGACCGAATTGTCTGTGCCTTTTTCTCAACGAAAAGGGATTTGTAGCAGGCAGACCGATTTGTCTATGCCTTTAGCGAAAGTATATAGACGCGAGAGATTTTAGCAAGCGATCAGCGTTCGTGCCTTCTTGTAAGCGAGTACAAATCGAATTAGTAAAGATATGTTGGGCAGGCAGACCGATTTGTCTGTGCCTTAAACGTCGCGAAGAGTATACAGCCGAAGAGAATATAGGCAGGCGATCAGCGACCGTGCCTTCTATGAGCGTGTACAAATTCGAACTGGGATGAAGCTTGCCGTGGACTAAGGCCAGGAAGCGATAAGCGAAAGAGTGCAAAAGTAGTTAGAAATGACGATTAGAACAGTGTTGCCGCGCAGGGCAAATAGCAAAGGAGAACATCGAGAATTTCGTTTTACGTTACGATTTGAAATTAGTGGTTTGATTTAGGCTGCGGCATGACCGAACATACCCCCCCTGTTGGAAGACCAGGGCTTTCAACCAGATCCAGCTTCGGCAGCACGCACAGCTTGCGGACAGCCCTTCGAGAGATTCGAGCCACACGAGCAACTCCATCAGATCCAGGCACCAATTCCATGATCCTGGCTAATGGCCATTTAAATGGAGGCAGAGTGAAGACGACCTCGTTGATTTGTAGCACAGGTTTGGGAGTGCGCCACTTTGACCGTTGCTGTAACAGGGTCAAGTACTCTTCACGACACCGTGACCAGAAGATTTGTTGGAAGTAGGAAATTCTCTGCCAGCGGTCCAAACGATTGAAGTTCAGCTTTGTGACGTCAGGCTCAGAGTACAACACCAGTGGAACTGTGCCAAGAAAGTGTGCAGAAGTTAGCGCCTCAAGATCTGCCGGATTCTCTGAAAGAGGGAGTAAAGGCCGTGGATGAGTTTACAATCGCCGCAATGTGGCAAATGAGAGTGCGCAATTCATCGAACGATAATAACGATGGGCCAACAGAACGGTAGAAATGAAATTTGGCCGTTTTTACTGCAGCCTCCCAGAGACCTCCAAAGTGAGGTGAACGAGGGGAAATAAAACGCCACTCAATCGAATCTTCAATCGCTCGAATGTGGGGGCTCGATAAGAACAGATTCTTCAGCTCAGTTAGCTCGTTCTTGGCTCCAACGAAGTTCGTGGCATTATCCGACCACATTCGGACAGGTTTGCCTCTAGTGAGAATAAACCGCTTCAGTGCTCCCAAAAATGCTTGTGTCGAAAGATCCTGGACAAGCTCTAGATGGATCGCTTTCGTCGCGAAACAGATGAAAACGCAGACGTACGTTTTCACAGGCACCTTGCTTCGAACTCCGGTTTTGTAATAAAATGGACCGCAGAAGTCCAGACCAGTAACCATGAACGTAGACGTGGCGTTTACACGATCCTTGGGCAAGTCAGCCATTATGTGTTGAGAAAGCTGTGGTTTGGCACGAAAGCAAATGACGCATTTTGACGTTGCAGCTGACACTGTTTTCCGGCCACCTATCGGCCAAAACTGAAGGCGCATGTGAGCGAGCAGAGCTCGTGGACCAGAATGCAAGTTCCTCCGATGCAAGTCCAGTATAATGGCACGTGTAACTGGATGCTGGCGTGGCAGTATGACAGGATGCTGCGCATTGTAATCCAAGGACGAATTCTGTAGACGGCCACCAACTCGGATCAGACCGAGGCTATCGATGAATGGCAATAGAGAGGACAACGGGCTGGATGATGAAATTTGCTGCTTAGAATGCAGTCTCCAGTAGTCATCAGCCAGGTTGCTCATTTGGATACATCTGATGAGCATCTGAGTGCCCATTTTGACATCTTCGACGGCAAGACCAGGACGTCTTATACGGTGTGCAAATTTGTATACATATCCAAAGGTGTGGGTCATCTTTTGCCAGGAATTCAAAACCTTGCGCCTTTAAGTCAGATCCACTTCGGTAGAGACGCCAATCAAAATGCGCTTTCTGAGCTCGGGCAGAGTCTTCACAGGCAAACAAGATTCAGGCCAATCGTGCTGATTATTGAGAAGAAAAGCTGGGCCTCTGAACCAAAGGGCAGATTCGAGAAGCTCAGTCGGGGAAGCACCTCTTGACAAGATGTCGGCAGGATTACAGTCAGTCGGTACATAGCGCCAATTCATGCCACTGGATAGCTCTTGAATTAAGGAAATTCGATTAGCAATAAATACTTGGAAACGTGAAGGTTCATCGCTTATCCATGATAAAGCTACAGCAGAAACGATGAGCTTCATGTTGCGTACGTCCCGCATCAGTTGCGCTAGTATCAAAGCAGTGCAGAACTCCAATAGCAAAGCCTATAGCATATGCAATGAACCCGCGCACAAACGATTTGTCGCCGCTGCAAAACGTTCAAAGCGGGAACGAAGGCACAAAGCGAAAACGAAAATGCACTTTACGATGCGCGGGGGCGGGCGTGTGCGAGACTCTAGCGAAGTTTATGTTGCGCTTATGTTCTGCTGTTATGTAAATGGTTCGAATTTCTATTGGTGGGTCAGTAAGCTTTTTTACTAACCGTTACCTTGTGCCCAAGTAAATAAAAAACGCACAAATTTTAGATTTAAATTGCACTTATTTATTACTGGCACCAAGGCCTTAAATTCACAGAGTTATTGTTTGTTGGTTTGAATTAGGCAGGCAGACCTAATTGTCTGTGCCTTTTTCTCAGCGAAAAGGTATTGTAGCAGGCAGACCGATTTGTCTATGCCTTTAGCGAAAGTTTATAGACGCGAGAGATTTTAGCAAGCGATCAGCGTTCGTGCCTTCTTGTAAGCGAGTACAAATCGAATTAGTAAAGATATGTTGGGCAGGCAGACCTTAAACGTCGCGAAGAGTATACAGCCGAAGAGAATATAGGCAGGCGATCAGCGACCGTGCCTTCTATGAGCGTGTACAAATTCGAACTGGGATGAAGCTTGCCGTGGACTAAGGCCAGGAAGCGATAAGCGAAAGAGTGCAAAAGTAGTTAGAAATGACAATTAGAACAGTGTTGCCGCGCAGGGCAAATAGCAAAGGAGAACATCGAGAATTTGGTTTTACGTTACGATTTGAAATTAGTGGTTTGATTTAGGCTGCGGCATGACCGAACACCCCCCTTACACTTTTTGCAAAATCGGATTTTCCATTTTTTCGTACCTTTTTTTCGGTAAAACCTGCATAAAATGGCCAAAAACGATTTTATCTTGACGGAGAAGGTGTTTTCTTTCATGTTTCTAGAGCTATAACAAAGTTGCATACCAGCTTTTTAAATTTCAGAAAATAAATTGTTTCGAAATTTTTTAATGGACTCCCCTCCTTACACTTTTTGCAAAATCGGATTTTCTATTTTTCCGCCCCATTCAAAATTTGTGCAAAATGGATTTGCAGAAAAAGTATCAGATCCCAGCACTTTTAGGCGCATAACTTTTCTAATTTTTATTCGATTTACAAGTGGCATATCGCCCTTATGCCCTTATCCTTTCTTGTTAATATAGACGTTTATTATAATTAAGCTTTCTTAATGCCGATTTTCAGAAATCCAGAGTCCCCGCAACCAAAGAGATCAATAGATAGTCAGTATAACTACAGTACTGTGGCTGCAGCTGCAGCTGTGGTCGGAGTGACGGCGGTGGCAGCTGCAACAGTGGGTGTACCTTTTAATTTGCATGGCTCTACCGTCTTGTCACCTTTGCATTCTCTTCGCAACGAGCGGGAGCTATCCATAATGCCAATTTCTAGAAACTTTGTAGTGGACTACATGTGGCAGCAGAAGGATCAACATTACCAAGAACAGTATTCGAAAAAACTCATCAGTGGCGACAACAACGAACAAAGCCAGGATTTTGGCTCTTGCCCACGATCGTGGTCTCGACCCGACGCGAATCTCTCATTGTCGACTGTTAATGCGGTTCGACTCTCCGATGAAAGTCCAATCAATATAAAAAACGAGTCCCGTTCATCGCTATGTGGCGTTATGAAAAGCCGTAAGCTGTCTGGAGTTGCAAACAAGGGGCTAACCCTCGCCGAATACAACATTCCTTCGATAATAAACTGCTCTGCATTTAAGCCAGTCGTCGCTTCAACAGCAATTGTATCCACATCTTTATACACGAGATCTAGTGATTCAAAAAGATGCCATTATATTCACCCTGCACAATCAACAAGAACAACAACGGTTCTTACTCATAATAGTATATCGGGTTCTACTCACCAGATAGTGGGTCATGAGGCTTTTTCGCCACTCCTAGAAACAGTGGAATCTAGTTTTGAAAGTAAGTATAATAATAACTTTACGCTGCTTATAATAAAAAATATCGTTTTCAGAAAAGTCTTTAAGTGTAGTCAGAAGTACAGACGATAACGACGATGACGACGAACTGGTGGACATCGAGACAACGGAAGACGAAGGTAAACTTTTAAATCAACATGTTGATGTTCCCCAAACACTTGGCAACACTGTGTCTGAAAGCGAAAGCAGTATTCTTTCCCAGTCAAGCAGTACAAATATTGATGAAGAAGCAGACATCGATATAGATGTCATTTCCACAGATGCCGAAGATCAACTAGATTTTAATGACAATGAATGCTCAACTAAAAATACGAATTCTGTCTCAATGTTTCAATTTGAAAAAAAGAAAACGTCAGGTGTATCTCCAATAAGCAAGCCGTTATTGTGCGAAAACAAATTAAAAAATCCAGAGGTAAGAGAACTACTGAAGGGCTTAATTAAAATAAGTTTATTCTTTTCTTATTCCGAATAAAGATTGTCTCCTTAAAAAAATTTGACAAAAAATATTTATCAACATTTTTTGTTTCAGGATTCAAAAGGATTTAATCAAAAACTTTTAACTCGTCGGAAAAACGATAACACTCAACTGGAGCGAAACCTTTTAAAAAAAGGTGTTCCGAAATTAATTGGCGAGAAATCAAAGTGCTTAGCTGCAAAAGATGTATCCTCCAGCCTGCAAATACAGCAACGGGTTGCCTTTCCAGTATTCTTGAAGTCTCACTTGCACTCGTTCTGTCCACAACAATCTCGGCAGGCAACCTTTAGTCCCAACTCTTTGACGGAGCCCAGCACATGGAGCTATCCAATCGGCAACATTGGACCACTATGTTGTTACGAAACAGCCACAAGTGAAAATTGTCTAGACCTTAAGTAAATTTTTAAAATATAGAAAATCTGAAATGTATTTTAGTTTAAACGCATTTGAGAATATTTTATTATGTACTTTAAAGCTGTTATAAGTTCCGATTTTTTTATGGGTGCCTAAAAATAATTCTAGAACTTGAAAATAAATTTCTTAACAAAATGTGCAAATACTGATTAACAAAAGGTAAGGCTTCAGGGCTACTGGATGTATAGTCAACTTTGATAACATGAAACTTAATTTTTTTATTTTAAGAAATGACAAAGATTAGGTTTCGGTTTAGCAAAAGGGGTTGAATTTATTGATTTAGGTTTTTGTATTTTACTGCTGTTCTCCGCGTCGAAGTTAATGCTCTCCTCGGAGAAAAGAAACTAGGATTGGTTCCGGTCCTGTCTCGAACTAAATCTCTCTAACGAACGAAGGTTCATTCAGACATTCTTTAGAATTATATCATGCAGTGGGTAACCTCTGTGAGGACAGTTGCCCTCTTGGCAGACAGAAAAGAGAACGCCAACATGGAACGGCTCCGCATCTCCACCGCCGACTCTTCAATAGAGCAGAAATGAGCGAGGAATAAGAAGTAACGAAACAAAATTACGATTTATAAGAGGTTCAATATTCTTTGCTTCAAAACAGGCAATTGAAAATATAAATGCAAACAAGTCAGCTGTTGAAACGATGTGGGAAACGATGAAAAAATGAAACGTTCCGATAACGAAACGATGTCAAAGAAATTGTGAAAAACGGAGCACCTAAAACGAAAACGTACGTTTTCGCCCAAAAACGAAAACGAAAAAAAAACTGAAAACCGGAGCCTGCCTGATAATTTCAAATTTGACTAAAATGTGTTTTTACGGATGGACTGTGTGGGAATAAACTGTTAATGACTATGTTAAACATTTCGTTTATTTTTCAACGTTCCAAAATCAGTGTTAACTCCGTAAAACCTGGTAGCTCGATAAGAACCGATTATTTTCACTGTCAATAAAATCCCGGAAACAATTTCTCTGATTGTCATAAAACATGAAATTAAACGAATATATTAGTAAATGATTTTTGACATACTTTTTGTCAGAACTCAAAAACTATCTGCAGTTATTTAAAAGATAAAATTGTATATTAAAATCTATAGATATACAAATTAAAGTGTTTTTGTGTGTTTGCGTAAGTGGTGCGCAAAACTCTTGTGTTCATCACAAACATACACAAAAATTAATATATCTTTAAAGAAACAAGTTTTTTGATTTGTTTTTCGTTAATTTTGGAGTAAAACCTTAGATTACTGATTACTGATAATATTAAAGAAATTATATTCAGAAATGGATGTAACGAAATCGAAATCAAGGTATGTGTGTGAAACTTTGATGTGTTTTTAATTTTTAAAAACTTATAAATATATCAACCACGTATTTCCGAAGGCATACCTTCTTGTGAAAATTTTTTTAAGGTTTATTAAAACTGGTTTTCTTTGACTTTAAGGTACACAAGAGCAGATCTGTTGGCTCTGCGATATGAAAGTAAAAGTCGACAGCGCCCGCAATGTACAAATCGAACTGAACTTCACACATTGGGCTTTTGGAAAATTAATTTTAACGCAGCTTCGTTAAATGTCGTAAACAACTTTTTAAATCAAAACAAACATCGGCTGTCCCCTGAAGCAGATAACTCGACTCTGAACTGTTCCAACAACGGATCAATAAGCTCTCGTCGCGCCCTGAGAAATCGTGAACGGGCGAATAACTACTACCAACGTTTTATACCTGCGGATTCTCTCCAAGCAGGAGGGGGTGAGGAGAAGGATAAGGATTCACAGGCAGATAGGCAGTCGTTTAAATTACCCGTCATTGATCATCGGAGCATATCATCGTCACACCTGATGCCGGCGTTTGCCAAGAAGCGTTTTGCAGCAGTGACCGGTGGCAATGGCGTGGAGAACAGTGAGGCGACAGTAGACACAAGTGCATCCTACAGAAGGGAAAGCAAGGGGACACCCGTATCTCCTAGTCGAAAAACAATCGAGTTGGATAGTTTTGAAACACGTTTAAATTACACTCCTGATCACGACGTGGGCTCATCATCTTCCCCAACATTCTCGACAACCAGACAGGAAAGGAGGATTGGCAGTGGTCGCCTTTTGCCCAGGAATGACAATTGGGAATATAAAGGTCAAAAGTCAAAGGAAATAACCCTTGATGCTGAAAATGACAGTGCACCCATTGAAAGCGGAGGAGGAAGTGGAGTCAATCAAACTAATCAAAGCCAACACCGCCATCGCACGTTTAGTGGACGATTGGTTGATCGTGTTCCTGAACCTACAGACCGTCGTTTTCAATATGACACCAAAAGGACACTTGATCGACAGGGAGTTAGTGGTCGACGCTTGTCAAATAAGGAGTCCAACAATAATCAAAGTCGTGGGAAGCGCGGTAACTCGTATCAGATCCTCGAAGAACCAGAATGGTTTAGCGGCGGGCCAACATCACAGCTTGAAACCATTGACCTGCACGGCTTTGATGAGCTGGAAAACACTGAAGAATGCTCCGGTGAAAAAGATTACGATCAATTTTCTCACAAAGATAAAAAGTTGAATGTGCAGGCAACCAACGATAAAAGTTCGAGGCGAAGTAGTAATGCCAGTTTGAACGACCCAAGTCCATTGGACGATATGAAACATATTGGTGAAAACAAATTGACATTTACTCAAAATTTATCAGAAGCGACAAATCAGAATAACCATTCGAGTCAGTTGCACTACAACCAAAGTTCTGAAAGTGAATTTAATTTCGACGCCTTTCTCAACATACATCCTTTGGATCATTCCCTTATGGTAAATATGCAAATAATTTATTAATTTGTATGAATTTGCAAAACGGTGGGGTAAGGTTTTAATGGCAAAAAAGGGTTATAGTTGTGTTTTCTTTTTTTGCGGCGATACGAGTAATATATTTGTTTTAAATTTAATGACATAGTCTACAACTTCTGAAGTATAAGTATTATAAAAAATTTTTGATATTTTTTTTTTATTGTAGGTCATTGTGTAGAAAATATTATATAGTTTAACGAGATTTTTTTTTAATTTCATCCACGGAGAAGGCCGGAATCACTGCAGCAGTTAAGAACCTTTTTTTTAGCACCGTTGAAGATCGGCTCTAACTTAAAAAATATTTAATTTTTTTCTTTACAAATTTCACTGTATATTCTTAAAACATGTATAAATATCTTCTGAAAACTTTGAAATAATTGATCAAGAAGTTTTTTTTAATAAAAATTCCCAAAAAGCACCTTTTTTTTTGGCGGCACACTAGTTGTGCCCCTTAATAAATATTTTATATCCGTTGGGACTGTTTTGTGGTTTATTTCTATCTATATCTGCTGGTCTTCTCTATTGCAGTCCTCCGCAGAGGATTAAGCTTGTTATAAATACAATATATATGATTGTACACTTTTTAATGTCTTATTAATGTGTATAGGTAAAAAGAAAATTTACCTCTGCGCATTTAATTATTAAGTCAGTGATTAATTTATTCATTTATCCGCTTTATTTCATGTCTATCACTTATATAGATAAATGATGGAGTTGAAAAGGGCGAAACGAAAGGAACATCCCGTTTTACACGATGGTTTCGAAATAAGGAAGCTGCAAATAATCACGAGCTTTCAGGATTGCGGGAATCACAAGCCCAAGAAAAATTAGGTAAGTGAAGTTCTTTACATATAACAAATTTGATTACCTGGCTGGATTTATTGAGCGAAGAAAAACTTCTGTGCGAAATGAACAACATAAATAAATATCTTCAATTTGTATCTGAAATCTGGGTTGAGAAATGAATCTTATAAAAAGTGATTGCCATATATTTGTTTGATGTGAATACGAGATCTGTCAAAACGCCGTACGAGAATATGAAGCAGAAATCCTAACTGAAACCCGAAATAAATCCAGTCAGCTTGAATTATTTTAATATTTTAGTGTTACGTCTATTCAAATAACTAACATGTACCATTATTTTGAAGGTATTCCAAGTGTCAAAGATTTGGAAGCACAAATGACTAAGGTGGAAATGGCGACAGAAAGTGCGAGTCCAATGGCAGGACCATTCCCTAATATGGTGCACGTTGAAACCCCCATTGCCCGAGATACTGAGGCGTTCAAGAAGTTGCTGCAACAGTTGGGCTCTCAAGCAAGGCAGCCCAATTCTGGCAATGATGTATATCATATGATAAACCATTCAAATGTGGCAAAGCCAGACCAGTTTGAGTCAAGTCAACAAAATAAGCTGAACGACGGCCATCAGCAGGAAACTGGTTTGAATGTCCGCGCGCCAAACATTGCGAACAGTAATCACATCTTTACGCAAAAACAACATCTAATTCAAAGTAAGATATTAAAACAAATTCGGGGTTTTTTATTTTTTTTTAAGTAAATAATTTCCACTTAAAAAATGTTTTTTTATAACTATTAGGCCTTCTTTGCGGAGAAGTTTCTATGGACTTTCTGGAAAAAGAGTTTGGCAATCCTAGCACTCCAGCACCCACAAGGGAGGCTATTGCAGCCGTCCTTCGTGATTATTCTCAAACGAAAAGGAACCCTGTTTCTCCTGCCGATCATCAGATTAGCACACATGCATCGTTTCTTCAAGCTCCACCGGTTCATCAGCATTATTCTGAAGGTTTGTATTTTCAGAAGAGAACAATTTACAATTGACTGTTTTTAAACTAAAACTGGATGCATAGACTTGTAGACTTGTGATTTTTTGAAAATGACTGGAGATACGCATTTAAGCCATATTTTTCTCTTTTCCAAACAAATCTTTTCCGACTTTGAAAAATCATAAAAAATAGAAGAAAAATTATTTTTGAAAAATTGTTTTTGCATTTACTATTATTTTTGTTTGAACAACCTTTTTGCTTCAAAATATTTAAATTTTGAATTATAAAATACTAAATTGTAAACTTCTAAAGACTAAATATGTTTATATTTTCCAATTTTTTTCAGAATTGATTTCGCAAAATTGTGCCAACCAAGCTTTTAATCAGCATATTGGCCACGGTAATTGCCCAACTCCTCTCGCATTTACGCCTACATCAGTTCTTAGGAAAATGACTGCTGATAAAGATACAACTCAAACCCCGAGCACATCTCACAGCCAATATCAAATGCACCTACAGCACACTAAACAACATGGTACGAACTCAAACATGGGGCCTGATACGCAACCGACGGCAGCTATGGCCGCACAGCCCCGAATGATATTAGGCGGAGGCAACTTTACTATAAACCCGAATGCCCAGCAAATGTCTTCTAATCTGCCGCAGTGTCGTAGCCATCCGGTGGTAAAATGGACCTCTGGTAATATGCAAATGCCGCAGGGAAAATCATTTGGTAAGTATATTTGTGGATTTATCAAAAATTTAATTAGAAATACTTATACTCTTACGGCCTTATTTAAAGGCAACCAAATATTTAAAGTGAGAGTTACACAAACAACAAGTGCAAGTGGGTTTCTATTGTGTTTTTTCTTTATATGGAAATTGCATAAAATGATCAAATTCGCGTGAAGTTTCCCGCGACGTGTGATGTTGTTAAAATTTTCAAGGTTATCCTTATCTGGTACGCAGCCTTGCATTTTTAAAAAGTATTTTGTTTTTTATTTGTATAAAAAGTATAGAAAAATCGTCGTACCTTAAATGTTGTTTATCAATGAAAAAGTTGCAAAATGTAAAAAGGTTTTATGAATTGTAAACCAATTTTTTTGCTTTTATTATAGGTCGACCTATTCTAAAAGGAGGACTAAATTCACTGCCTCAACAAAATCCAGCAGCTTCTTTTACGCCCCATAAAATCGAAATGCAGCCAGTGCTGCAACAGATGCCGCAGCAACAACTTCGATTCAAATCCACCCAACCTGCGGAATCAATTTTAAGTACTGAAAATGTGCATCAGGACATTCATTCTCCTGCGGGATGGCATCAACTTTTTTTGCAACAACAGCAGCAACAGGCACGTCAACAACCTAGACACAGGGTTATTTATGGGGAAATGCATCGCCAAGCAAATCTACCAATGTCGTCACCCATACCAGGTAAAAAGACGGACTCTTCATTTCTGACGTAATACATTTTCTTATATAACTTGTAGGTTATTGTGACAGCCCAGAATCTGTAAATGGAATTAAAAGTAATAGCATCGCAGCTTCCGGCTACCACAGAGAGGACCAAGTGCCGTCCCCAACCACTAATCAATTGGCACAGTGGTTTTCTCCGGAACTTCTTGCTAGAGCTTCAGCTGGAAAACTTCCTCTCTTAAATATGAGCCAAGCGCTTAGCTTAGAAGAATTTGAGCGTAGTATTCAGCATTCCTCAGCCGTTGTGCACAATTAATTCTTTAAGAAGTATTTAAGTTTAAAGCAGTGTAATAAGAAATTTAATTAAATCCAATTTTTAAATGTTCAAAATAAATGTTTGGTTTATGCTTAGGAAAGTTCTGGTGTATTGGCCCGATCACTATTTTAAAATGGAGTTTTGAGCAAATTACAATTTAATAAAGTTTTCAATAATATTTATTAACATAGCTCTACCATTTCCAGCAGCTTATTATCCCTCGTAGTTGGAAAAGCACTCACAATTCTCACTAAGGTTTGTGCAAATATTCCATGTTTTACATCAAAACAATTTCTTTATGGAAGGACGATTTCAAATAGGAATTTTAGTTCGTCGCAATTTGCTTGCAGAAAATGTTATTCTTTTTATCAGGGGCGGACGAAAGGAGGTGAGCCAGGATGTCCGGACTCCCCCCAAAATCTCTGACTTCTTCAAAACCTCTTTCAGCCCACGGTCCGTCAACCATGTCTTAATATATATAAATCTCCTGTCACGATGTTTGTCCGCGATGGACTCCTAAACTACTTAACCGATTTTAAATTAAATTGGCACACCATGAGCAGTCGGATCCAACTTGAGAGATAGGACAGCTTAGATCTTTAATTATAGTCGCAATTTTATATTATTGCAAATTATTTGTCTAATTTGTAATTTCACAACCAATTTCACACCAATTGGCCGCAGACATCCAAGCCAGCAACAAGTATATTCAGCACCTTATGACCACAGTTAACGAGCCCAATCACTTTTTGGACGATTAAAAAAAAAAAATGATTTTTGGCCATTTTTCAAAATTTTCTTAAGGGGTAACATCGTCATTTTTTGCGAAAATTGTGCTTACTGACAGAAGCTTTCTGCTACAATTAGGAGACTGCATTTTCAGCCAAAATCAATACCAAAATAATTGCTTACTGACAGAAGCTGTCTGCTACAATTAGGGGGCTGCTTTTTCAGCCAAAATCAATACCAAATAATTGTTTACTGACAGAAGCTGTCTGCTACAATTAGGGGGCTGCATTTTTAGCCAAAATCAATACCAAATAATTGCTTACTGACAGAAGCTGTCTGCCACAATTAGGGGGCTGCCTGGTATTTCATTTTCAGCCAAAATCAATACCAAATAATTGCTTACTGACAGAAGCTTTCTGCTACAATTAGGGGGCTGCCTGGTATTTCATTTTCAGCCAAAATCAATACCAAATAATTGCTTACTGACAGAAGTTTTCTGCTACAATTAGGGGGCTGCATTTTCAGCCAAAATCAATACCAAATAATTGCTTACTGACAGAAGCTGTCTGCTACAATTAGGGGGCTGCATTTTCAGCGAAAATCAATACCAAATAATTGCTTACTGACAGAAGCTGTCTGCTACAATTAGGGGGCTGCATTTTCAGCCAAAATCAATACCAAATAATTGCTTACTGACAGAAGCTTTCTGCTACAATTAGGGGGCTGCATTTTCAGCCAAAATCAATACCAAATAATTGCTTACTGACAGAAGCTTTCTGCTACAATTAGGGGGCTGCCTGGTATTTCATTTTCAGCCAAAATCAATACCAAATAATTGCTTACTAACAGAAGCTTTCGGCTACAATTAGGGGGCTGCCTGGTATTTCATTTTCAGCCAAAATCAATACCAAATAATTGCTTACTGACAGAAGCTTTCTGCTACAATTAGGGGGCTGCCTGGTATTTCATTTTCAGCCAAAATCAATACCAAATAATTGCTTACTAACAGAAGCTTTCGGCTACAATTAGGGGGCTGCCTGGTATTTCAAATTCCCCACCCGCCTACCACATTAAAACAGTCAATAATTTCATTAGTTAGTTTTTATTATATTCAATAATTCAGACATAATATAATAATAGCTAAGTTTCCTACTATAAGTTTATCTTAACTTATAGTATAGTTTTTATTATTATAAGTAAGCTATTTATGCAGGGGCGGATTAAGACAATTTGCCGCCCTAGGCAGTTTTGATTTTGCCGCCCTAGACTGGAGCCTAATTTTCAAAAGTAGTATTTTATGTAGTGTTAACAGTCGAAATTTGCCGCCCCTAAAAATTTGCCGCCCTAGGCAGCTGCCTATGTTGCCTATATGGTAAATCCGCCACTGTATTTATGTGACTATTCCATCTTACTATTATTTTATATTATGATTAAACATTATGCTTTTAGGTTTGTACAATTCAAATAAATTTTCTTATCATAAAACTAATATCTGCTCCTCGCTCTGCTCGTCCAGTAATAATCGTCCGCGAATAAGTTCCGGAAAGAGAGTAGTGGAGAAGTAGAAGCCCTCGCTGACCTGCTCTGCTGTGGATCTGGCCCAAACTTGGTTTTATGTGCCAGGGAGGCAGGGAAGGCGCCCAGGCTCCAGCTGCTCTCGTTGATTCCTGAAAAGAAAAAGCATAGTTTTTATAACTCTTGTTCGGTCGGGGTTTCTTTTGCCGCACAAGTGTGCAACATGTTCAGCAATTACGGAGGAATTTAATTGGACTCCCAGGCCAAACTAAAAAATTGTTCGATCGGATCCCCCCAATTTTTTTTGCATCCGCCCCTGCCTTATACATAAAGGCTGCTGCTGAGCACCCACCTACTAAGCCTTTCTGTTTGCCTGGTGTTTGGGATCTTGAAACCAGCCAATTTCAATATGAAATTCGATTTCTGACACCAGGCCAACATAATCAATAGCAGGTTGCAGCTGGTACAACTGAATTTACTTAAGTAACGGTTCTTTTTTAAGTTAACTGTCCTTGGCACACTTTCCCTCACTGTTTCCACCAATCAGAACGCCGCATCACTCGAAAGAACCGTTATTTCCAATTAAACATCAGATCAGAGATGCGAAACCACGCTGATTCTTTGTGCGTGTCACGAAATAGCACGCCGCGCACAAGTAATTAATTAATTTCCATGTGGTTGTTGTTGGCGTGACAAGAATAATTTGTCACGAGCTCAACACTGAACAAGCCAATTTTAAGCTGATCAGCTGATCGATTTACACCTGCTAAGCGGTTATGTTGGCCTGGTGTTTAAAATTTAGAATTTTAATCTGGTGGGGGGGTTTTCGATTGAAAAAAAATACGATATTTTTACGGCTCTGCGGGGCTTTTTGGTAGGGGTTTGAACCCCTAAAACCACTCCCGTAAATCCGCCACTGGCAAGATAACTTTAAAACTGAGAGACTTGTTTACATAGAAACAGACAGGAGGACATACGGACAGACATGCAGACGTATTTCGATTCAGATCGTGATGCTGATCAAGAATATATACTTTATGGGGTCTGAGGTGTCTCCTTCACTGCGTCGCAAACTTCTAACTGAAATTATAATACCCTTTGCTCTGCAAGGGTATAAAAAGGGAACCAAAGAAAACAACACCCGAATAAAACACAGTAAACGAGGGACTTATTTAATATATACATATAAATATATATATATATAGGGGAATGTTGTCAGGGTTGGGCCATATTTTGACCTATGTCCATAAGTTCTGAACGAATGACAATTTAGATTAAGTTTACACATTTTTGGAAAGGTACAAGCAAGACAAAGTGTTCACCAAAAATAGAAAATAAAAAAACAAAAACAAAAAAAAGTTATAGGCGTTTGAAAAAAAAAAAAAATGTAGTCAGCGTTGGGCCATGTAGTCAGGGTTGGGCCACCTTCAGAAAATCGTTGACAATATCGTAACGTGGTGGAATAAAATTGAATTCAGGTAAATCTGACATTATTTTGTTCATTTATTTAATTATTTGGGATTTTACTGTAAATATCAAATTATTCAGAGTTCTTTTTCGTTGGTAGAGAGGAACACTAAAGAAAAAGATAAAAATGATTCATCTTCATTCAATCCATCAAAATATTTTTTTAAGGAAATCTATTTAATTTATTTTGCATATTTTTGCTACAAAAAACTTAAATATTACAACAAAAATCGAAAATACACGAATAAAATGTAAAAGTTATGATGACCCAAGCCTGACTACAAAAGTGGCCTAACCCTGACGACATGCGGTATTAATCTTTTATGGTATGATATAGCCAAACTATATCTATCAATGAAACTATATCTTAGTATTTTGTTATATAGCAACTATATAACGTATTTTTATGCTCACTTTGCGGATGACGTGTTGTAATCTTGTGTTATTCCACATTTTCGGGCAGGTTAAAAAAACCTTTTCGAGCCTTTTGTTTTTCACAGAACAACGACACGTAGAAAAATTAAATCCCGAAATAAGTAGTCACGTGGAAAGTTTCGAGTGACCGATAGAAGTTTCTAGACACCCACTAACAGATGGTACTAGAACGAATATTCAAAATATTGAGATGGCCCAAGCCTGACAACATTCCCCTATATATATATATATATATTATATATGTTATTTGTTGTATATATACATATGGTTATTCATTTTTATGTTGATAGGTCCATTTATTTTGTCTATAGAAACTGAAAAATAGAAAACCACTATGTACACCTCACGATAACGGGCTTTATACGATAAGCAAAATCCATTTATAAGTCTAAATGTCCTTTAGGTTCGCTTTATTTTACATTTGTTATACACTTTTAAATCGTTGCATATACTTTTAATGTGTGAACCAGAATATCTTTTGAATAAGTCCATATCGAAATCTACATATAGTGTCAATGAACATTCTTTATCCACCAACTTTCATTTTAATTAATTTTATTACAAAAGGTAAAAGTTTGCTGTCTAGGGCAGCTACTTTGCGATTTTAGTTGGCTTCATCGTTAAATAATGAGTTAATGAAAGGATTAAGACTTTTCACGGCAACACCTGTAATTGAGAAATAAAAAAGTAGATTTTAATATGTACAACACAAGAATATGTTTTAGAATTTACCCTTTCCAGCTGATTGATCCTTTGAATCTCGCCACTTACACAGCGATTCCTTTTGTATTACATACGCATCATAAAGCTCGCCAATAAGTTCACTTAGCAATCCTAAAAAAACCAAATATTGTTATATAAGTTACCATAGCCAGATGTTTACAATGCTTACCTCTGGGATGCTCTAAGCCATGCACTAATAGTTGCAGAGCATATAAGCATTCTAGTTGATGATCTTCTTTAGAATCTATATATCGCTGCAAAACTGGTATGCATAACTTTTGAAAGATTTCGGACTCAAGTTTATAACTATGATCCTTGTAGAGAATCGAGAAATTACTCAAGGCTTCGGTCAATCCCCGTATAAACAACTTGTCAACCACCAATATGTTTCCCTAAAAAGCAAAAGTCATATATTATTAACATAATATTATATACGAAAGGGCATAACTTACGTTGCTATAATCAATAATGCAATCTGCTGTCGTTCCTTCCTTCAGCAAGTGCTCAATATGGTCTATCACATTTTTTACGTGCTTTTCTGGAGACTCTCTTCGCTCAATTACTGGCGATTTTGACACGTCTTCAACATACTCCAGTCTCTGTAATTATATCAGTTAAATATAAATTATATAACATAGGTATATATGAAATATTTCATACTTAAAAAATATTCAGTCTGCAATTAAACATATGTAGCTATCAAATTTTTTAAGGATTTGCCTGCTGAAATACTAAATCCTTGAATTTTTAATTAAATTTTAATAGAACAGAATATTCTAAATATCTTTGTTTCAATATATGTACATTTAAAAGTAATTTATGCACAGATCGAAATACTATAATTAGAAAATAATAAACAAGAAAGTGGAAAACTTTTTAAATGGACAGATTAATGTTTTATTCCTACTGCAAGGGTTTCACCGAGTCTTTGTTACTTTCTTGTTTTATTAATATTTTTTAAAGTTTGTCAAAAATAAAAAAAAATGTAAAAAGGAAATATAATTTTTCGAGCCTTTCTCCAATTATGTAAGTTTCAGCTGCAGTATTGCCTTCAATAAATGTTGCATACCTCAATGCGTATATTTTATTTATAATTTTGAGCTTATCTTTGTGCAAACTTGAGACATAAAATAATTTAAAAAAAAAAAAATAGATTTAGAAACTTACATTGTCTTTTATAAAGTCAGCGACTTCATTTTCAGGCATAAAATCAGACCACTTTAAGTTGAACTTGGTCCACATGCTGCGAGTGAAGTTCGGTCCAACTTCCTGTGTGCAATATATCAAGTAGGTTTTAAGGAACTTTTTCGCCATGCGGGATGGGCTGTTGTCTTTTAAGTATTTGTTCCACAAATCCGATACAGTCAAGATTTTCTTCACAATTAATGGCCCTGTAGGTTAGCAATATTTGTATTAAATACATATACGATAAATAGAATGTTATTAGCAGGTCACCAGCAAACGATAATTAATGACTATTCAAAATGACTTTAAACAATTTTTCAATTGAAAGTATACGTTATCATGATTGAATGATTGAATTGTTGATATAGCACTAACACAATGCTGGTGAACACAACTATGACTGTTGGCAATATTACCGGCAAATTGAAGAATATATAGCCAGAGCTCTGGAATATCAACAAATAAATCGTTTGCGTACTCGCTAAATTCGTTGTACGCCAGTCTGAAGTGATCCACAGAGATGTAATTTTGCTGAATAAGTTGGGAAACCGCAATGGCCAAATATCGCCTGTACTGTTTGCCGACATTTGCTAAATGCAAATAATCTGTTAATATGTAATATAAAAAACTACAGCGCAGCTCCTCTGGTACTCGTTTAATGCACAAAACCACGCCGGGCGTTACTGCTTTGGAGGCTGCGGCCAGCTCAATCATTTCTGAGACAACCGATTTAATGGCTTTAAGTTCTGTTTCACTGGCCTGATTTAGCACAGCCAAAGGTGCCACAGATCGAGCACCCTCTGGTGACGTGGAACTAAATGTGGATGAAGACGCAGTTGCCGGTTGTTCACTGCCGCGGTAGAGTACTCCCGCGTTCATGTTCGAATTTCCCAGCGATGACTGTGCCTAGAAGGAAGCGAAGATAATGTATTAATAGGTATATATTGTAGTTCCTACAAGTAAGCTTGGTTTTTGAATGTGTATGAAAAATGATTACGAATTATTACTCACTTTTCCAGTATGTCGTGCTGGCGGTGCCTGTTGTATGTATTTCGAATGACTAGCAGATTTTTGAACTGACGAACTCAATAAAGTGCGGGCTTGGCCGCGGGATGTCGAATTTTCTCGGGACCCCTGTGATGATCCAGTTCTCGAATGTATACCTTTTTTAAAAGATCTCAGTATATTTTTCAAAACAATTTAGTTATAAACAAGTAATTACCTCTATCATAACGATCGCGCTCCATAGATCCTTTGTTATATGAGCCTTTGTTTCTTGGTCCACTGCGATCTCTATCGCGATCCCTCTCAGTGTTGTTTTTATCAATTAACGAGGACAGCACAGCGAAGGGATTGGAAGGGGTTGATGTGGGCGCAGATGATTGTTGTGTGATTTTGTTATTCCAAATAAATTGCGTTAGGCCTCCCATCTTTTTATTTTCTAAGTTTTGGTCAGAAAGTTTCGACTGAAAAATAAAAAATGGTTAGCCAAACTGTTCGTATGTTTTTACAACAAATAACAGAAAAACTAATAAATAATAAAGCATTTAAAAATAGTTTTTTTTTAAGTGTTAAGCAAATATAGGGTAGGATAGGGATGTAAAAATAAATAATTCTTACCAAACCTTCAAGTTTATTACTGTCAACTGCCTGAGAGCGGCTACCTTTGCTGGTCTGAACGTGCCAAGTATTATCATCGTTGTTTCCGTTAGAGTGACCAGCTCCGCCAGAGCCACTGCCTCCGCTGGTGTTGCTCTGCTGTTGGTGTCGCAGATTTCCGTTGTCACCGCGCTGACTGTGACTGCCACCATAACCGCTTCCCGAACGAGATTCGCCGTATCGGGTATTGACACGTTCATCTCTCTTACCAGAGCCGACCTGAGATCCCACGTTTGTCGATCCAGAGAGTGTGCCAAAATACTGCGCAGACAGCTGTTCGGTTTTCGCCTCCTTTTCTATTTGCCCCATCGTCTTGGGTGCCTCGTTGCGCGAAGTTTGCCACTTGTTCTTACGCAAATCAATGACATCTTGAAGCATGAAACGCACTCGAGAGCTCACTTTGGCACCATCCTTGTCGGTTTTCGAGGCGATTGCCTGCATCCTGATAATGGATTTTTCCAATGAATAACAGCGTCCTGGTTCCTTCGAGTTGACTGGGGTCTGCTCAAACTTGGCACCCACAGTGGTGAGCAGCTTGCACAGGCATTCAAGCATGTCCTCAGAATGGGGATTAAGAAGTGTATCAATGCAAGAGTATATTATCTTTCCAGTTAACATTGATATTTTAAATAGTTCGCCGATAAACCGCACTGTGCCCCCAGAGCGGCGACGTATCTTTCGTTCCTCTTCCTCTAAAAATGCCTCAAGTTCTGCCTTTTCGTTGGCATCAGTACATTTCTTTATTTTGTCAACAATTGGCTGTAATTTCTTCTCCTTTGCGGTGCTCTGGGAAACGTTCTGGGTGAATTCCCGTTCGGTTTTATCTAACAAAGCATTCCTGAAGTGCGCCAAATTGGATTTGGTGCCACTTTCCATGCGTTCATCGCGCGCCTTCACTTCGGAAATCAGACGATGGCATAGTCTGGCGTACGACACAGAGAAATTTGGCTCATCAATCGCCTTTTCAAATACCAACACTATTACTTCGTCCATTTTTTCTGGCGTATCAATTTTCAATTTAATGATTTCCTCCACAAGCGTGTCAAACCTTTCGGGTGTTAACTTGTTCAAAATACCCCGAACTCGACGTATTAATTCATCCTTTTCCTGTGTTGCCTTTGTGTCACTGTCAGCATCCGACCTATTTAGGGCTCGTGGACGCCACGCGTTCTCGTTTTCACTTAGTTTCACATCCTGGTTCAGAGATAGGTTTACGTGGATCATGCCCTTCATACTGCTCCTTCCGCCGCCACCCTGCACACCTGACATCGATATCTGCTTGCCAACATAATTTCCTCCTCCGGATTCGCTGTTTCGATTGCCAATCATACCGACCATTGATTGTACGCGCTTATTGTTATTGTTATTCCGGATAAATGATGGCATTAAATTCGGTTGGGGAAGAATAGACAAATTTTTCACCTCTGGCTGCATTCGCGAGGCCTTCACCTCCCGCAATTGCAATAATTGATCTCGATCGTATTGTTTCTTACCGTTTGGGTTGCTCGGAGACCACTGACCTTCGTTATAGTTTATAAAAGAGGAAACTGTCGTTCCTACTCCTTCAAGTTTAGTATTAGCGGACATTCTTTTCTCGTCAACGTTGTCCTCAGGCTTTGGCTCTGGATTTACATCAGCCTGAGGATCTACGTCATCGTTATTCGGTTTGAGAGACTCTGTTGCTTGTTCGCCTGTAGAGTCATTATTTGAAACATCTACATCATTTATATCCGTTGCTTCATTTTGACTATATTCTAAACAAGTATTTTCCTTCATTACCATTGTTGATAAACTAGCCACATTAGGGACATCCCCTGAAGTAAGTTCCGACTGAATATGTTGCTCTTTACTTTGGACATCAAAATCATCTTCTGAAGGCTTATCTAATGTTTCAGTCAACGGGCTGGGTTCAGATTTTTGTATATCTGTGTGCATATTGGGCAAATTTGCGTTCAATTCGAAAGGTGAAGCTTCGTCAATGCAATCACTTTCGGCAACATTCGATAATCGTTGACTGTTCTTGACATCAACAACCGAATAGTCTGTTGAAGGACTTTCAGAGGATACACCAGAATCTAAATCACTGACTTTAGTTCCCTCTGGTGCAATTGGCTTCTCCTTTGTAATCTCAGTGGTTGGTACAGTGGGTTTCTGTTGCGGTGATGCGGAATTGAGTAATTTTTCATCCGACAGATTTGGCAGTAAAGATTCCTTGGTGATTGCGGCAATCGGATTTGACACTGCATCATCAGTTTCATCTGAAAGTATTGAAATAAAATTAATCATTTAAATTGTTAATATCAATAAAATTGTTTGCCAATATAAAAATTAATAAAAATAACAATTTCGGGATGTTATAACTTTAGAAACTACAAAGACCCATCAAAAATATATATTATTAACAATGGTTTCTTTCTATTGTTAGTCCGATCCCTACATCGTCAACAATTAAGTGTATTATTATTTTTTTTTTCCTTTCACCAATATTAAGTATTATGTTAACTATTCCTGTTATTGTTGCAAATGAATGCTTGACAGTATTACAGGTATGTATAAGGATTCTTGTATAATTTATCCGATTGTTCCTACGGAATTGCATTTTAATTCTTTATGCATTATTCTTTAAAAAGCATGCATGTATGCATGTATTATTAAAAACAACTATGTTGTATTTTATACCAATTATTTTATATAGATTTTTGTTTAATTAGTAGAAGATTTCATGTGGATCAGGAAAATATGCGTTGACAACTTTTGAATGAAATTTTAATAGCCGTCACAAGATGAGGAAAAAATTAATATATTTTTTTGTTCATCCAATTAAGTTATTTTTTCGGATAGACTAGTTTGCGTAGAAACAGACAACAGAATAGCCTGAACGTTCCTATATCATCCCGTATATCTACATAAACGGCTCGGCTTGTACTTTTTCGATAAAAAAAAAACGTATTTGGTGAATGATAATAAATTGTGCTTGGTTTTCTAACAAATTTTCTATTGCTCCTACATCAATATGGAAAAATAAAGAGTAATTCTATGTATCATATTGAAGATGGAGAAACCACAATAGTTCTCAGTTTTGTTAGGCCAACAATTAAGTTAATCACTGAATAAATGTTCAAGTACATACATATATTTATATATAACACTTTTTAATCTTGTCCATTTTTTGAGCTGTAAAGCTTTTATTTTTTTTTTATAGATTTTACTATTATATTCTTAGTAATTCACATTCAATGAAATCGTTTGCAATTATTTTATTAAGCACATTTTTTTTTATATATGTAAGACGCACGTTTCTTTTACTTGTATGTATATTTATTTATTAAACATCAACGCAAGATATCTCACCGACCACCTTTCGCGCTGTTGCCTAGTTGCTATAGATAGATTCTGTTGATGTTGAACAACACTAATACAAACACATGATCAAGTTGAGCTACCATATATATTCTACAAGCAACAAAACGAACAGATTTATCCCACCCGTCAACCGAAAGCCACACAAGCAAATAAATTTAAAGAAAACAATAAATAAAGCTATTTCGTTGGCAAGAAAGTAATGTCGTTTTTTTAGTAATCGTTTTTAATCTAATTTATTTACGACTAATCGAGCACCAGGGTCACACTTTTTAGTATCTTTTTAAAGCTTATTGTCTTAGGTACTATCGACGAAAATTTGGTAATTATTCGATAACATTTGTGGAAGCTATAGCAAATTAAACATGGAGGACCAAAGTGAGCATTTTCGGCATATTTTGCTGTTTGACTTCCGAAAAGGAAAAAAAGCGGTCGAAGCTCGCGAAAAACTGTGCGAAGTGTATGGTAAACTAAACTAACTAAGCGTATCAACATCTGCTATTCTCTGCTGCAACGGATTAAAAACGATCCTTTTTTGAAGCGGATCATTACTGGCGACGAAAAGTGGGTTGTTTCAATAATGTCCAACGAAAAAGATCATGGAGCAAGAAAGATGAGCCAGCCTAAGCCACATCAAAGGCCGATATCCATCAGAGGAAAGTTATGCTGTCTGTTTGGTGGAATTGGAAGGGTGTAGTGCACTTTGAGCTGCTGGGACGGAATGAAACCATCAATTCAGATGTGTACTGTCGCCAGCTATTCAATTTGGCGGAAAAAATTAAAGAAAAGGAGCCGGCACTAGCTAATCGCAAGGGTATAGTCTTTCACCATGACAACGCTAGGACCCACACATATTTGGTCACTCGGCAAAAATTAACGGAGCTGAAGTGGGAAGTGCTACCACATCGACCTTATAGTCCGGACTTAGCACCTTCAGATTACCATTTGTTTCGCTCTCTTCAAAACTCTTTGAATGGTAAAAACTTTGATTCAGATGAGGCTGTCGAAAACCACTTGTCTCGATTCTTTGCTGGAAAAGACCAAAAGTTCTTCGAGCGCGGAATTATGCAGCTGCCCGAAAGATGGTCATTAGTGGTCGAACAAAACGGCCAATACATAATTGATTAATTACAGGGTCCGGCACTCGAAGTGTAACCAATAAAAATGGTTCTAAATTAAGTTTGGAAATTTTGTTTTATTTAATTCCCAGCTCAATATGTGTAAAAATAATCCTTAATTTAAGAAAAATTCATTTTTGCTCGATACGACCACCTTTTGCCTTAACTATAGCCTTGAGACGGTCGAAGAAAGAATCGCAACTGGCCGAACGTGACTTGCCGGTATTTTTGCCCACTCGCGGACAATAGCTTTTTTTAACGCCTCTAGACTGGTGTATTTTTAAGTTTAGACCTTGCTCTTCAAAATAGCCCAAAGAGAATAATCCAGCGGATTCGCAGCTGATGAATTCTAGGGCCATTGTGTGGACGTTATGAAGTTCGGAACATTGTTTTCCAGCCATTCTTGGTTCACTCTGGCTTTCTGAAACGGTGCTGAGTCCTGTTGAAATGTCCATGGTCTGCCATCGAAATGTTTGTCTGCCCACGGCTTCAAGGCAACCTGCAGAACACTTTCCTGATAAAATTTTGCATTTACCTTGACGCCAGGCTCGATAAAAACGAGTAGAGAGCGCACATCTGGGGTTACAGCGGCCCAAATCATTACCTGTGGCGGGTGGTGGCTCCTGGTTGCCAATCGATGGCTCAAATTCTCGTACGAACGGTCAGTTAAGTAAACCCTATCGTTTTGGGTGTTTGTCAATTGCTCAATTGTAAAAATTTTCTCATCAGAAAACACAATGTTCGGAAATTGCTCACTTGCGGGTCAGCGAAGCAACGTTCTTCGACCGTTTTAAGGCTATAGTCAAGGCAAAAGGTGGTCATATCGAGCAAAAATGAATTTTTCTTAAATTTAAGATTATTTTTACACATATTGAGCTGGGAAATAAATAAAACTAACTTTCCAAATTTAATTTATAACCTTTTTTATTGGTTACACTTCGAGTGCCGGACCCTGTATAAGTCCTGATGTAAATAAATCATCTTGCCAACCCAATATATATATTTTTCGAACTCTCCTATGCTATATGATAGAGATATAGCTATATGATAGAGTTATCCGATTTTGATCAAATTTAATCCGAAATTCAATAAGAGTTAGAAAACGCCATCTTGAAGAAATCAAGTCGATCTGATCAAAAACAACGGCGTGAGAATTTTTTATTTAATTCTTTCGTATGGGAGCTATCCAATATAGTCGCCCGATCCGGCCGTTCCGACTTACATACTGCGTGCAATCACTATACAACTTTTGGTAAAGTTTCAGCAAGACAGCTTTAACACTGAGAGACTAGTTTGAAAAGAAACGGACAGACGTATTTCGATTAAGATGGTGATGCTGATGAAAACAGATTCTTATATACCATATGGAAGAAGTATTCAGGAAATACATGAAAGGCATGACAGTCAGTGGTGAATGACACCAATTGTTATATTATTTTAAATGCACTTACCAGTGGATGGAGCAGCGGTAGAATCAGATACAACTTTGGGAGACACTATGGGTATTCTGAAACAATCAAAGTAGGTATAAAATTAATATAAGGACTAGATTATAAAAAATAACGTTATCATTTATTTTCTATTAATTATTTTCTTATTGCAGCTATATGATGTAACCACAGTTGTCGTGATAATGTGAGACCAGGACCAGTATGTTCAAAAACAAATATGAAGATAAATTGTGTACTTACTTTTTGCTTCTTCCTCGTGGAGGCGTGGGTAATATTTCAACCGAAGGAGCATCAGACATAGCGGATACAATGGGAGTCTGGCCAACATCTTGACGGCTTGCTGATATTGGTTCTGCAAACAGAACAAAAATGTAGTTGCATGATATTGGGAAATCTAACAAGAAACAGGATATATCGGGAATATTCCTGATATACCCTATGAGGCAGGTAGATAAAATTACTCGTTAATTTATTTAATATGTACCGTCTGTCTTTATTATCAGGTTAGTCGAATCAACCATGTCTGTCTAACAGCCCAGATGAACGTCGAGATCTAGACGCTGCCTAAGCATCGCACGGTTGTTTCATTTTTTTTTGCCACGCCTACCTAAAAGTTTCTGTGGAAACCGCAGTTTTTACAATACTACATTTGAATTGCGGCTTCCACAGTTTTTACAATACTACATTTGAATTGCTAATTTGAAAACCAGTAATAAAGCCCGAGCAAAAGGTGTTTTTAAAAAATGTCCCACGCCCACTTTCAGGCTTCAATGTTTTGAAACTCTTACTGCATTTTTAGCGGAAACTCATTATTAATTGAGCTGGCATCCGAAAACAGTACAGTGAAGAAAACGAACGAAAATGTCTATATTAACTTGGATACTGATGTTGATTAAGAAGTGTATACTTTAAAGAGTCTGAAATTGATCCTTATTTAATTACAAACTATACCCAATGACAAAAATTCCATAAAAATAACAATAAATAAAGATTTTTAAGTACATACCAACAGGGTTGTAAGGCGCATTGTTTCGTGACTCAGATCCTTGTAGTGGTATATTGCTTAAGTTATTTATTTCAACGATGTCCTGCTGTGGAGTACGTATTAGACCTTCTGAGAGTACTGCTCCGGATGTGTTGGTAACCTGCTCTGCGAAGTCGTTATCCGTGTTTGAGTTTGTCTTTAAAAATAGAATATAAAAAAATTAGTCTATTAAAGAGAAAAGGTAGTTTATTTATTTACCTTATCGAAATCGTCTAATATATTCTTCTTAGTTGTCGGATCGATAATCTGCAAACGATGTTGATGTCTACGTCTTCCGGTGGGCGGCACTTGCACAGCCTGCGGTTGTACACCTGCGGACATAACTCCAACCATTGGAGGCACACCCACCTGTCCCATGCCACTGCTAGGACCACCGACCCCCATAACACTGTTGGTTCCTGGCTGCACTGTACTTGTTAACAACTGAAGCTGCGACGAGGTTGTTCCGGGACCAGGCAACGAGCCATTCGGCCCGGACTGCACTGGTTGTAGAGAGTTTCCAACATTCACGTTCGCATTCACCGTGACGGCACTGCGAGTATGTGGCGGCGGCTGCTGCTGGAGAGCTGGCATGTATTGGTACTGGTAGTACGACATTGGGGCGGGTGCATATTGCAAGTGAGAGGATGGAAATGTCTGTTGTCGCGGGTTGTATTGTGTAAATGGTTGTATCACCATGTTCTGGTGAAGGGGCTGTGAATACATGGGTTGTACATGGACATGGCGTGTTGCCCCTCCACTGGCACCACGCGCTGCATTCGCCGTCGGCGGTGGTCCTCGAAATATTCCGCCACTTTGTGGATTAGATCTGGTATTTCCGGTACTGTTGTTTCCCGTTGAAATATACTAGAAACAGGTAAAGGGGAAAATTAGTTGTCAGTGGCAAGGGATCAGTGTTTAATCATTTTTAAAATTAAAGTTTATAAAAAAGAAGTAAACATTAAACATATAAGCCTAAGTCTTATTATTTGCTTAACATCAACAGTTTTAACCACAAAAGGGGGTTACTCATACGAATAAATTTACAAGTTTACATTATTATTTCCAATATACCCTTGTGATCTTTTTGAAAAAATCAATCTCATGAGTAATGTCTTCTATCCCAAAAAATGATCGCTCGACTTTAATAATACATTTTCTTACTCAACAAATGTTTAACTATTTTGAAGTAAAAGAAATAAAAAACTTAATAGATTGTAAATCTGTTCCTAAAATCACAGTATTTCCGATGGTTTACCTCTGCTGTCGACGCTTGAAAGCTATTATTTGATATCAAACTACTGCCTTTGAAATCGTACTTTCTACTAGTATCAACACAATTAACGCTGACGCCAACAATATTGCTGTCATGCATGTAGGGTGTTCCTGCCGTAGTCGTCCCCAGGGCGACTCCTATAGTGTTTCCTATGTGCGATTTGGGCATCGTTATTTGGCTATTGTTACTGCCTCCAGGGCAATTGTTCGTTCCAGTTCCGACTGCGTTATTAGCAATGTTGTTGCCATTCTTCGCAATATCCGTGACACTCAGAAAGCGAACATTTCCATCTAGGCTTCCGGATAGTGCGCGGTGACTGGATATGTTGTAAATTGCGGTCGAATTTAGATCACCAGAATTGAGTTGACAACTGTTCACGGTCATTATGTTGGAGCCGTTGCAAATAACCGTCGACTGCTGGGCCCCAACTGTTCCAGAGCCAGATGATATAGACCTATTTACAACGTTTGCATAGCTCTGTTGATGCTGCTGTGTTTGCTGGAGGTGATGTGATGGCTGTTGTTGTTGCTGATGCGTCAGGTGTTGGGGCTGTTGGGCATTTTGTGCTGTTGTCTTTAGAATGGAGACCACATTGTATGACTTGTTTATCTGAAACTGGGGCTGTGACGTGTGGCTATGCTGCTGTTGCTGCAGAGGCTGAAGGGACTGTGGCTTTGAAGATGGCACCTGTTGAGCATACTTTTTTGTCTTTTTATTAGCTGGCAAAATCTACAACAGATCACAAGAGTGAGGGTAGTTTCGTATTGTAGAATTTATTAGCAATTGTTTTTCAACTTAAAAACTTGGCAATTGGCACAAATCAAAAAACGGTCGAGCCCACAATTCTGTAAGAACCGATTAACCAAAGTAAAAGAAAATTGTTTAAAAACATGCAACGGTGTATAGGGGCTTCAAATATTCTGGGGAACTAGAAACTTTCGGAAATACTTTGCAAATTTCCGGAAATGTATGTAGGCTTTCCTCAGAAGCCACCCGGATGACTACACTTTAAAAAAATTAGAGAAGCAACCAAACTGCTATTTTTATGCTATTTTTCATGTTATAAAAATTAATCAAATCAAATCAAAACAAGCATTCAGATACCTTCATAATGACTGCGATTGTTTTCTAAGAACCTATTCAAACTTGTTTTTTTATGGAATTATTTATCTGCCCTTACACTGATTTATATAGTTCAAATAAATTTATATAAATTCAATATTCCCATTTGTAAAGCCTTGCATTGGCATACAAATTTCAGCAAAATGTTATCCCTGCATTGACGGAGACACCATACAAAAATTATTCTCCATACTCCGAATTTTGAAACTATATCTCTAAAAAGTCTTGTATCCATTTTTGGGTAGTAAACATATTTGTTAAGAAACACATGCATTACCAATGTAGTGGTTCTATGCCAGCAGGAAATTTAGATTCTCATAAGAATGCCCGGTAAAATTTTACCATTACCATAGAGAAGATCAATAAACGTATATAAAATTGAAAAAAATAATAAAGATATAGTATGCCGATCTTTATAAAAACAACTTCAGGAATATTATCTTTCAAAATGAATTTTCTATACATTTTCTGTTTGTATTTCTCCTATTGTTGCTATGGCAGATATATAACTATAACTATATTGATAATAATAGCTCAAGACTCGTTAAAAACTTAACAATCCAAAAATTGTATAAAATGACAAGAGCTCAGAATTCTCAGTTTATTATATCCGGAATATAAATGCGTTATCGTTGCAAGCTTCTAACAGAAATTATAATACCCTCTGATGGTAGTCTGCAAGTTACCATCGGAAAAGTTGTAGTAAATAAAATGAAAAATCGTGAATATTTTTTGTGAATAAAAGCTGATATAGGTAACTTTTTAGATACAAACAAAAAAGGAAGCTAGCCTTGCAATTATCCAATATGTCCAACCTAATGCACAGAGGCTATGTCAATTTTTCTATAAAGTTTCTATATTTTCGAAGATGTTCATATGACAGCTGCATTATATAGTGTTCTGATTTTTATGTAATTTAATTTGAAATTCAAGAGTCATTAGAAAACTCTATATTTCAAAAAATACCCTTTTTAGGTGAAAAACAACGAAGTTATCATTTCTCTTTTTTAGAGAAATAGTTGTCCGATTTTTATGAAATTTTTTCCTCGATTCAAGGGTTATTAAAAAACTCAATGTTCTAAAATTTATGGTTGTTATCAATTTTTTTTTCTATTATTTAGAGAAATTTTTTCTAACTATTGAATTTCGAATTAAATTTTATCAAAATTTGACGACTATATCATTTAGAAAAATCGTCATAGCTTCGAAGATATTGTTTAGCCTTTATGTATGTATTTTGTTCGACATATTTGATGACTGAAAGGGTATATAAGCCTCCGCTTGCCAAAGCTAGGTTCCTTTCTTGTTTTTCAGTTATGTTGTGTTCTATTTTTCTTCAGTCATTGACCTATCCATCTAGAATCGGTGAAAAACATTTTTTAAACAAATAAAACTAGTATTTACTACATATGTACATACTTCAGAAAACATATTTAACAAATAGGATTAGAAAATACGTAAGTATTGCAAAAAAAAAGGATGTGTTAATTTGTTGTTTGGCATCAAGATTGTAAACTTACCATATTTTGAGCTGAATGGGGCTGCATGACTTTGGCTATATCTGACTGTGATAGAGTTGGTATAGCTTGTTGCATTACGTAGGAAATTAATTGTATGGGATCGCCAGAACGGTTGGCCGTTTCATAGACGATTTTAGGGCGATTTTTGACCCACTAAGAAAGGTCGTCACACAACCATTTGATTCTGCAACAGATATTTATTTTATTGTTAAGATCTGCATTACGGTCACTTTTCGGTTGGCTTACCTGTAAATAGATTAATGCATCACTTCCAGAAACTTATTTAAATTGTTAAAAAGACGTTCAAATAAAACAACCACATTATTAATGTAAACTGGCCAAGCATAAAATACAAAATTATCAATTTAATATAAGAATTGCTTTTTTATACTCGTAAAGGATATTATTAAACCTATTATTTTGACTATTATTTTCCTAAATTTGCAGTCTTAAAATCGACGATGGCAGTAGTTACCATTATATATTTGCCGACGTTGCTATTGTGGCGACGTGAAAGCAAAATTATTCCCAAGGTGCAAACAGTAAAAACGTGCCACTGACTTTAACCATCTCCAAAATGATTCTGGCTTTTCAATAACAATCACTTGTTTGTAGTTAAAACAGTATTTAATTTGCAATACGGTTAAGACAGCCAGCACAAAATGTCATCATGTAATATTTGATTTGTTGCCCACTCCTTATTATGTCTCCTCCATTTACCTGAGCAAAAGTGCCTTTGCAAAGAAATTATGTACAAAAAATAACGACTTTAATCGATTCCACTTTAAGTGCAATGTTAAAAGAAACAAATCAAGCTGTAATTCTAGCTTTATATTTTACAATCAAAAAATATTTTTCTTTGCTAATTTCCACATGCAATGTGTTCTGTTCATAGGCAGAGTTGTAGTAACTATTCGATACATCGATACATCGATAGCAATTTACCAATGCAAGACCAAAATCGATTAGAGACGGTCACGGTTTTCTTCACATTTAAAAATATCACAGATATTTTCAGGGTATTTCGAAATTGTTTAATAACTAACAGTTTTTTTAATTGTTAATAACAAAAAAACGGTGCAAAATTTTTATTCTCCGCCAACGGATTTCGAAGTTTTAGAAAAAAACACATCGTTTCCATATTTTATTTATTTTTTTAAGCTGTATTTACCGTGCACCGCACTTGTAAACAATTACCCTTAAGTCTCTTAAATAATAATCTGCAGGTTTTTCTGTTAGCCAATTTTGTTTTAAGCCCTTAGATAAAAAAAATATAAATTCACGAGCGGAAAAATGTTATGTATTGTGACTGACTAATTATAAGGTATTCATACTGTAATTTATATGGTTTTTTGAAACCAATCAAATCACTTAAATCATTTAAAAACAAACAAAGGGATAAGTATGGGTGCAATAAGATATAAATTGTATAGTTTTTATTTTAAGAAATTAAAAGTTTTAGGTCCTGCTTGTTCATTGCTTTGAATTTAACTCATACACAATGAAATGCTGTTTACACTAGGGTTGATTTATCGAATTATCCGCTTAGAGCGTTTCCGCTTTTAGCGACAAACCGCTTAAACGAACGAAATTTTTCAAGAAAATTGAACAATTTAACCGGATATTGCGTCGTGCAGAAAAAAATACATTGCAATAGTGCCAAATTTAAGCATCAAAACACGCTGTTAGAAATTTATGTATTTATTAGAGATCGGCACCTTTGCTTGTGTGCGTGGCAGTGACACGAAGGATCTTACACTGCCACTACTCCCTGTTAGTCTTAGCTGACGCCTTAACAACGTTGCTGCAGAGAGAGAGAGAGAGAGAGAGTCGAAGTGCAATGCCGACGTCACACTGCGTGTGCAGACCTCATAGCCTATTCCATGAGATGTCCCGTTATAATTCTAGTTTTTTCTGCTTTTCTCCGAGTAAAACTAAAAGCGTAAATTCGGCAAATGCAAAATACCGATTTCTAAACATATGAAATTTGTATATTGTAATGATAGTAGTTGCGAGAAGAGACTCTTTTTTAGTTGCGGAAATACATATCGCCAGAAAATATACCCCTAGCTTGCTGTGTAAACATTTTTTGTTGTTCTAAAAGTGCTCAAATTGATTTAATTAATAATTGTCAAGGAATCCAGCTGATTGTTAATTTATCTTCGGACGATCTCCTTAAACTTCGTTCATAATACAAATCATAACATTTTTCCGCAAGCGAACTTGTTTTTCAATCAATATAATCGATTATACTTTGTTCAGAGGACCAAACTATTTTGATAAGAAACCTTTTCAGTTCGAAAATGCTTATGTAGTCTTAAGACGGACACTATTTATATTTGTTGAAAAATATCAAACAGATCCAAGAAAGCACTTACAGTAGAATCCGGTTATAGCGACTTTCAAGGGACCGGCGGTTTTTCGTCGTTATACCCGGAAGACGCACTAAGCAAAAGGAGCAAACAAAAAATTTTTTTTTGATTATTTTATGGTTTTTGTGTTTGTAATAGGTTTTTAAAATAAATCAAATTAATTTTTTAATTAAATCGAAAAATTTAATTAATTAAATTCAAAAACATAGGTTTTTTTTAATACTGAAAACTAAATGAGCTTATTATTATTGGACATTTTGCGTTTGGCGAATTTACGAATTCAGTTTTACTCAGAAAAAAGCAGAAAAAATTATAATTATAACGGGACATCTCATGAAATGAGATAAGCTCATAGGCTATGAGGTCTGCTCACGCAGTGTGACGTCGGCATTGCACTTCGACTCTCTCTCTTTCCCGGCAACGTTGTTTAGGCGACAGCTAAAACTAACAAAGAGTAGTGACAGTGTAAGATCCTTTGTGTCGCTGCTACGCACACAAGCAAGGGTGCCGATCACTAATAAATACATACATTTCTCACAGCGTGTTTTGATGCTTAAATTTGGCACTATTGCAATGTATTTTTTCTGCACGACGTAATATCCGGTTAAAATGTTCAATTTTCTTGAAAAATTTCGTTCTTATAAGCGGTTTGTCGCTTAAAGCGGAAACGCTCTAAGCGGAGGCCATTTCATATAAGTTAGTATGGGGACCAACCAAACCATTGAGTTTTCGTCGCACAACCCGGACGGACACTATAAGCGGAGTCGGTATAACAGGATTCTACTGTACTTGCTATGCATTTATATCATTTGAATAACGATATCGATAGAAATTCACGTTAGTGTGCCTGCATGTAAAACTGGAATAGTAGTAATTCAATCGAAAAGAGAGACACAAAAAGGAGTGAGCAAAAGAGTAATGTCTTAGGCACAATGCTCTCTTGAATAAATCGTTTTACCGTTATCAAACTTTGAAGGAGAGCTCTTAATTTTTTGTTTCTTTTTGTATTCTCTTAGGTATGCTGCTGATGAGGCGCATTTGCTCTTTCGTGAGAGATGGACAGTTAGAAGGATTGTTGTAGAGTGCTGCTGCTATTGTTGTTCTTTTCCTTGGCCACCGCTGCTGGTACTGATTTCCTTGTTGTTGTTGTGCTGCTGCTGCCCCTACAAGAACTGAAATTGCGTTGGCTTATCATGGATATATCAGTCAACATACTGAGAATGCTAAGACAAGACGTACGCGTATCACAAATTAGAACAATTTTCGGTCAAAGTTGTATAATAATTTTCTAGTTTCTATCCAAAGAGGTAAAAGGTAATTTAATTTACTAAATAGCAGTAAAAACGATTCCTTAAATAAGTGATAAAGTACATTTAAAATTCGCAATCTCTTGGGTTTTTGGACTATTCAATGTTGAAAATCTATATTTATAAAAACATTTTCTCTGATATGGAACCGTTTTTAAGAAGACTTAACAATAACGTCGGGCATATATAAATTTATATAAATATGTGTATAAGTGTAATTTTTCTTTTAGGGCTTTCGCTAATACATTGCTTCCACAGCTTCAAAGCAACGCCATCATCATTTTACCATTCTTGTTGGTACTTCTTTAAGCTCTTGAGAGCAAAGCTCCTTCTCTTTCGTTTAACGTGTCCCGTAAGCTTCTGTTAAAAAAGGTCCATTTCGCGCTTTTAGCACAGACACGAACCGAGGGTAAAGGATATAAGTAACAGAATGTTAATATATTTTAAAAATATAAATAGCTGAAACTAAAACCCTTGAGCAGTATAAATGATAGCAACACCGTATAAATTACAGAATGTAATTTAATATTAAAAATATAAATCGCCGAAACTAAGACATTCGAAACTTCTGTCGCTATTAAAAATATAATTAATTTTATATATAGTCAGAAGACGAAATCAATGTTGAAATGTTTGTGATCACCAGGGAGTTAATCTTTTTGATTTGTTAGTCTTTTTTTTAACAACGTTTAATAAATTGAGTTTAATTGAGTTTTCCCAGTACAATATTGAGGAAATTAAATTTAAATTAGTAGCAAACACAAAGGCAAGCGAGAACTAAATGACATAGGTCATGACATAGTGACATGACATAGTGGAAAAATGTGCAAACTTAGTCTCCGCAGACGAAACTGATATTATTAAAAGTTTAAGGTAAAATTTGTTGCCCATAATTAGGTATTAAATGTAATAAAATTATGCAAGGTCAACTTTAATTGATGACAAGTGGTATTTTTCTTCTATATTTTCAGCATAAACTCAAATAAGTTCTTCGATGATGGCATTTTTCTTTGGGGCTTAAGAAAAATTACAAAAAAAAAACATCAAGTGCTTTTGCTAAGATGAATCGAAAAACTACTATAATTGTAGTAGTCGGAATTGTTTTGTCCTGGAGCCGAATGGTCGATTTAAGAAGTCCAAGTAACGCACATTCTCAGGATACTGTATCCGTTTCCCTGCCTGGAGACATAATACTCGGAGGGTTATTTCCCGTTCACGAGAAAGGCGAAGGTTCTCCATGTGGACCAAAGGTATATAATAGAGGAGTTCAACGCCTGGAGGCAATGCTGTACGCCATTGATCGCGTCAACAACGACTCCGATATACTGCCTGGCATAACGATAGGGGTCCATATACTCGACACCTGCTCCAGAGATACATATGCTTTGAATCAGTCGCTGCAGTTCGTTCGAGCATCTCTCAATAACCTCGACACGTCGGTATTCGAGTGCTCGGATTCGTCAAGCCCACAGCTGAGAAAAAACGCTTCGTCGGGCCCCGTTTTCGGAGTTATTGGCGGATCATATAGTTCTGTGTCCTTGCAAGTTGCCAACTTGCTGCGTTTGTTTCACATTCCTCAAATTTCACCAGCTTCAACCGCCAAAACGCTTTCGGATAAATCACGCTTTGATCTGTTCGCCAGAACTGTACCGCCAGACACATTTCAATCCGTAGCCCTTGTAGATATACTCAAAAACTTTAACTGGACATATGTTTCAACGATACATTCCGAGGGATCTTACGGTAAGTTTTGAGAATAAGGTTGGCAAGACTAATGAAAACAAGAAATGAAGCTAGCTTTGGCAAACCAAAGCTTATTTACCCTTGCAGTTATTAAATATGTCTAACAAAATTCATAAAGGCTAAAAAACATCAAAGCTATGACGATTTTTCTATGGTAGCCATATGAAATAGTTGTCCGATTTTGATAAACTTTAATTCGTTATTTGAGAGTCGTTAGAAAACTCTATATTCCAAAAATCATGCTTGCCTGATAAAAAACAACTATATTATAATTTTAATATTGTTATTTCTATATAGATTTTTCGATCTTTCCTATTGCAGCTATATGATAATGTTGTCGGATTTTAATGAAGTTTTTTTTCTCGATTCAAGGGTTGTTAAAAAATCCCATATTTTGAAACTCATGCTCGTGGGATTCAATAATTTTTGAAAAAACACAAAATTCGCGATACTTTTTGAACGCACCTCGCAGTTTGCTCGCTTGGAGGAACCTTGTCCTGTCCATTTCCTTTGCTGGACGGCGGTAATTTTAATTTTTCGAGGTCATCCGTGACCTTCCCAACTAAGGGTTCGGACATTCCAGGTGCATATCCTGAGATAGCATATTCTACATATATCTGTAAAATACATTTTCTACATGTAAATAACTCCAACGATGTAGAGCACCCCGAAATCAACTGAAATATTTATATATATAATATATTAAATAATTACATATATAATTATTTTTATTGCAATTCGGGTTCATACCAGTTCTCTTTCTATGGGTATTCCATTCTCTACATCATTATTATCGTTATTGGATGTTTCAAATTCATTCAAATATATCATCGAGCAGGTTCCTTATTATCTCCACCAAATTCTGACTACAAATTTCTGCAGGTTTATTTTATGGGTGATTCACAGCACGAAGTAGACCAGCGTTGTTCAGAGAACTATTAAGTGCACAGACCAATTGTAAAACATGAGAGCTAATAAAACTGCTGTGGGAGAACGTGCGAGACGTTTTAGTGCACCGACAATTGATGATGAGGCTATCGTAGTCGTTGGTGACAATTTGGATTCTCGTGACAAACAAATTGCAGCATGTGCTCGAAACACATCGATTATATAATGCACTACAATATCCTATTATTTTTTGGCAAAGTGAAGATGGTTATCATTTTGTAATCAACATGATAATCCCTGTTACAGGTATTATTATACATATTTTATATCCACGCTCCGCAATACATATACGTACTATATATTATTTTATAAAAATTAGTAAATTATTTACCTGTCTTAATTAATTTCTAGGTGAATATGGAATTGAAGCTTTTCACAAGGAAGCCACCGAGCGGCATGTCTGCATAGCGGTGGCAGAGAAAGTGCCAAGTGCAGCAGACGAAAAGGTTTTTGACTCAATTATAAGTAAACTTCGAAAGAAGCCCAACGCTCGCGGAGTCGTCCTCTTCACAAGAGCCGAAGACGCGCGCAGTATTCTTCAGGCAGCTAAGCGTGCCAACTTATCACAGCCGTTTCATTGGATAGCAAGTGACGGTTGGGGGAAGCAACAAAAACTGCTGGAGGGACTGGAGGATATTGCCGAGGGCGCCATAACAGTGGAACTGCAGTCGGAGATAATCGAGGACTTTGATCGCTATATGATGCAGCTGACGCCAGGGACAAATCAAAGGAATCCCTGGTTTGCTGAGTACTGGGAAGACACATTTAATTGCATACTCTCACCTGTTTTGAAACAGACTAACGAATCGAGCTCGGTTGATTCTGATGACCTAAGGGTCGGTATTAAAACTAAAACTACATGCGACGATAGTTTTCGGCTGTCAGAAAAAGTTGGGTAAGTTTTCGAATTATAAGCCAATCTGACGAGAATTTCATATTTCGAACATGGTTAATAAAGCTAGGGGAATGCTTGGATTTATTGGTCCAAGGAATTTGAGGATCCTTACGTTACCAAGACTTTATTTATATCATTGGTCCGGCCAATCCTTGAGTATGGGGCACTTGTTTGGAGTCCCCGATACGGAGTACATGCTGATCGCATAGAATCAGTACAAAAAAGCTTTTTAATTTTTGCCCTACGCCGCCTAAACTGGAATGCAAACCTAATGTTTAATTAGAACACCGACACTTTGTGTGGACTTTGCCGGATGATTGCGCCAAAGGATGCACTGAATTTTTCCTTCGACTTTTTCTGGCACTGGCGTAGCAAAAGTTTTCATACTGCCACCCTACACAACATTAGGTTATTGCCCGGAGAAGTTTACGTAAAGTTTGCATAAAGGACCAAGATGCAAATAGAATTAAATATAAATTTCCATTGTTTCGCTTTGCACTCGCTCATTGCGCTCATTAATAACTGACGTGGTTCAAATTGTGGGAGAGCAGTGGCTGTCTTCTCTCTTGCTCTTGCTGTGCTCTCTCGCACTCTCAATGCGATAACTGCATGATCTCTGTTTCCGTTTCCTGCTGTTTAAGTATTAGTGGTACTCAACAGAAATTATTACCACAATTAAAGGGCCTTAAAGTTTTAATACATGCATAGCGTGCTAAGATACTTGCCTTACATAAATGTATTAGGTATTTATAAAGTACTAGAGGTCCTGTGTCCGCTTCGCTGGTCAACACAATTCAACAACATAAAAGTCAATGTTGCAACATTTTTCAAATATTATATATGGAAGTATAGAAAGATGGTTGTGTAGGGTGGCAGTTTGAAAACTTTTGCTACGCCAGTGCCAGAAAAAGTCGAAGGAAAAATTCAGTGCATCCTTTGGCGCAATCATCCGGCAAAGTCTACACAAAGTGAATTCTCTATCACTCGCCTTCTCACTCACTCTTTCACTCTATCCCTATCACTTTCCGGCTTTCCATTCGTGGGTGTGAGCCGCTTGTGTTTATATATTTACAGATACGAGCAAGAGTCAAAGACTCAATTTGTTGTGGATGCTGTATACGCATTTGCCTACGCACTGCATAACTTGCATAACGATCGCTGTAATATACCAAGCGATCAAACGATGGAACAACGAAAGCATCACCATAGTGAGTCTGTGTGGTATCGAAAACCTTTGACTGATAGCAAGTCGCAAGCTTGTCCCGATATGGCTAACTACGACGGAAAGGATTTCTACAACAATTACCTTCTGAACGTCTCATTCATAGGTTGAGTACACTTATTCAATACGTTCGATATCTTATTTATTCCACATTGGATTTTATCTGAAAGATCTGGCGGGCAGTGAAGTCAAATTTGATCGTCAAGGGGATGGATTGGCTAGATATGACATTTTAAACTATCAACGTCTTGAGAATTCTTCAGGATACCAGTACAAGGTACGGCACTAATGTATATTTATCCTTTTGAAATTTTTAAAAACCGTCTACATTGTAACCACTACCACCCTAAAAATGTTCCCATTTTTATAACCTTGCAGAGCAAAGGGTATTATAATTTAGGCACAGGACAGGAGGACAGACGGACAAACGGACAAACGGACAAACGGACAGACGTACAGACGTACAGACGTATTTTGATTCAGAAGGTGATGCTGATCAAGAATATATATACTTTATGGGGCCTGAGGTGTCTCCTTCACTGCGTTGCAAACTTCTGACTGAAATTATAATACCCTTTGCTCTGCAAGGGTATAAATATACAATAAGTAGATAAGAATTTAGTACGAAGCAAGCATACCCACGCAGTCCGTGTAAAACTTTTCAGCTAATTGGCAAATGGTTTAATGGATTGCAACTAAATTCCGAAACAGTTGTGTGGAACAAGGAAACCGAACAACCGACATCGGCTTGCTCACTGCCCTGTGAGGTGGGAATGATTAAGAAGCAACAGGTATGAAGCATTTCATCTGCATGGTGGCTATGTTTTGCAGCTCAAACCTTGTTCTTATAGGGGGACACTTGTTGCTGGATATGCGACAGCTGCGAGTCCTTTGAATACGTTTATGATGAGTTCACCTGCAAGGACTGTGGACCAGGGTTTTGGCCTTATGCCGACAAGCTTTCCTGTTATGCTCTGGATATTCAGTATATGCGACTAAACTCGTTATTTGCACTTATTCCGATGGCCATAGCAATATTTGGTATTATCGTGACAATTATTGTTATTGTTTTGTTTGCGAAAAACCATGATACTCCACTGGTGAGAGCTTCCGGTCGAGAGTTGAGCTATACGCTTCTCTTTGGCATCCTGGTGTGTTACTGCAACACTTTTGCGCTGATCGCTAAGCCAACAATTGCTTCCTGTGTGCTGCAGAGATTTGGCATTGGGGTTGGCTTTTCCATTATCTACAGTGCTCTACTAACAAAAACAAATCGAATTTCACGAATTTTTCACTCTGCGTCCAAGTCAGCCCAGCGCCTTAAATATATTAGTCCACAATCACAGGTGGTTATTACAGCATCCTTGATCGGTAAGAACTATTTACCTCAACACGTTTTCATAAAAACAATGATCTTATGACTCTCTAGCAATACAGGTACTAATCACAATGATTTGGATGGTAGTGGAACCACCTGGAACGCGATTCTACTACCCAGACAGAAAGGAGGTGATACTTAAGTGCAAAATTCAGGACATGTCCTTTCTCTTTTCTCAGCTGTATAATATGATTCTTATCACGATCTGCACTGTTTATGCAATAAAAACCAGGAAAATACCAGAAAACTTTAATGAATCAAAGTTTATTGGATTCACAATGTACACCACGTGTATTATCTGGCTAGCCTTTGTGCCAATATACTTTGGGACCGGAAATTCCTATGAGGTATGTACATATACATTATTTTGCGAACCACTATTTGTAGATTAAAAACTTGATTTCTATCACTCATCTTATCGTTTTGATACCCTTGTAGAGGGTATTATATTGTAATTACTTTCAACAATAACTCGTTCAAAAAGACTCCATAAATAATTTTGGTATTTATATTGATCACCCCCATCTGAATCGCTTTGGGCACTTGTCCGATCTATCCGTTGGTCACTTTCTCTGAAAGTCCCTCAGTTCAAAACCTATCTGCCTGAAAAGTTATTGCAGATAGTACACGGAAACTGATCGAATTGAGTATTCTCTGCTAACTCCTGAATTACCAGTTTTATTTTTTGAAAATCGGTGACTATATGATATAGAAGTCGATTCTGGTATAGGATGATGACCTAACTTGCAGAGAAGATTGGGAATAGGGCAGGGATTATAACGTGTTCTTATTGATATTGGACAACACATGAAACACTAACTGATATGCTCATGATCCTGATATATAAGCATATAACAAAATAGCAATGCGTAGGGGGTGGAGGGGCTTCAAATTTTTCTCTGCCGCAGTGAAATTGCTAAGGCACTTGCAAGGAACTTGACTATTGCATTTACTTTTCTTCAGCCTTAAGTTATGATTATATTTTTTTCAAAAACAACTAATGCAAAACAATTTGTTTCAGGTCCAAACTACTACATTGTGCATTTCCATAAGTTTAAGTGCTTCCGTTGCCCTTGTGTGCCTATATTCACCCAAGGTATACATACTCGTCTTTCATCCGGATAAAAATGTTCGAAAGCTGACCATGAACAGCACCGTCTATAGGAGATCGGCAGCAGGTGGAGCCGCGCCAACTAGCTCCGGAATTAGTCGAACGCAGGCAGGAGGTGCCACCGTGCCGACAAAAGAAGCTGCAGTTGCTACGGCGACTTCAAGTGTTCCTCCAATACAAAACAGTCCAAACCTTGAAGGCCAAAAACCGGTCATCCACAAAAGTAATGAATATATTAACGGAGAATTCGTGCCCGAAGAATGTGAATATGTTGAGTCAGTTTGTAATCAAACAAAGAATTAGGTCTCCACCAATATATATATCATACTTCAATGTTAACTAAGAACCGACGCTTTTGGAAAGACTAGTTATCTTATGGAAATTTACATTTTAATTTAAAGGTTAAAGGTCTACGAAATGTAATTTTCTTATCTTTGGATATATATAGTTCGGAGAACCTATTTGATGCATCTAAAACCGATGTATCTTCGATACAAGGTTTTTATACCTTTGCAGAGGGCATTATAATTTCAATTAGAAGTTTACGCCTTGAAGGAGACACATCGGTCCCCGTAAAGCATATAAATTCTTAATCAGCATTGCCACCAGAGTTGATTGACGTTTACGTCTTTCTAATTTTATGTAAGTTTTGAAGTCGCTGCAGGTAGTCGGTAGGTGGTTAAATGGAACGTCCCGGATCGAACGACTATATCATATAGTTTCCATAGAAAATTTAAAAAAAAAATCGAAGGCCAATTATTTTTATCGTATAAGCATGCTTTTCATTAGATCATGTTTTCCAAAGACTCTTGAATTACGAGAAAAATTTTATAGAAACCGACTCGATTATTTAGCTGCCACAGAAAATATTGAAAAACTCTATACAAAATTAATAAAAAATTCTAACCTGGTTTTTTTTTCTATCTCAGAAGATCCTAGACGTAACAATCCTATAGCTATAGCAACCATAGGAAATATAGATAAATATAAAATAAATAGAAATAAAAATCACCGGTGTTTTTATAATGAAAGCATGATTTTTGGAACATACAGTTTTCTAACAGCTCTTATCTTACGAATTTAATTTTATAGAAACAATCGGAGAAGTTGTAGGAAATTAGTAGAAAAGTCTTTTTAGCTTTGATGTTGTTAAGCATTCGTGCATTTAGCTCGAATTGTAGCAATTCGATACGGTAATAGATATGAAACAATTTTATCTATAAAACTCGGACTAATATATCATAAAGCTATAAAGAGGACTTTATCGCTGACGTAATAAGGATCGAACTAACAATAGAAAAAAATCTTGCCACCGTAGATTTTTGATTTAGGTTCGGTTGTGAAAGTTTCAGTTCGCCGAAGCTAGCTTCCTTTGTGGTTTTTAAATTTGGAAAGTAATTTGGGTTTTATTGGTTAACCCATGCGTATCTAATACGTATCTAATCATATCTGACAGTATATAAGTGAAACCGCTTTGTTGCAGTAACCTGTAAATCCAAAAACATCGATGTTTGTGTTGTTTAGATTTTAATAAGAAATTGTCACTAATATATAATAGGTATAATAATTTTACAACTTTTAGCTTTAACCATTTCGTTGCACCAGAAATATTATATATAAAAGCCTTCTGATCGGTTTGTAATCAAATTATATAATACATACAATAAAGACAAATAAATTAAAAATCAATCAAACCAAAATATTATCTGTTGTATAGTTACTATCTAATTTAAGGATGGCTTAGTTATCCTGATTGTACAAACATTACCTTACTTCACGTTTTTAAGAGATATGCTATACTATGTAAAAGTAATTTAATTAGATGTTATACATATAAAATTAAGTAAGTAGTGTATTTCAGTTTCAGTATTTAGTTTTTAACTTTTTTTAAATGAATAAAAAACTAGGGAAATCCGACAAGAAATGGAAAAAATCAATCTTGTACGAACTTATTTATTAAGACAGCGATTTGATTTCAAAATATCCGTTGCTATCATCAAGGAGGTTCAAGGTTCAAGGAGGTGATAAATAAATATGTACTTTAATAAGTAAATTTAATAAGTAAGATTAAGTACAAATAAGTTGTTCTATTAGCAGTATTGGAAGCAAACTTATATATTTTACACAGGCTTAATTTAAACTAAAAGTTATAATTACAAAAACAAAAAGAAAAAAAATTAATAAATGAAAATTAATAATAAAAGAAACGAAGCTAGCTTCATTCAGTAGTAGCTTTTGTAACAGCAATATACAATAGCCGATAACAGATTTTAATTTGAAAAAAATCTTAATTCAGGGGTCGTTTAAAAAATGTTATTATAGGTATCAGAAACTTTTTTATTTTTTTCATTATTTTATTTTCATTTTTTTTCCCAAAATGTTGCTTGTGAGAGTAGAACAACGACTTTATACTTTGTGTTTAACCAATTGTATATAGTTTTTCGATCTTTTCTGTGTCAGCTACATGATATAGTAGTCAAATTTTTAAAAAAAATTCTTATCTAAAAAGTTGCTATAAAACAATATATAAAATAATATAAAAACAATAGTCTAATATTTGTTTTCCTGGTAGGGCTATACAATTTTAGTGACAATGTGATAAATTAAACTTTTCCAACAGTTTTCTGCATTACAGACGAATAGCTTAGAAGTGGCCAACGCAATGAAGGAGACGATCTCAGAACCTCGGAAAAAAAAAATTTTAAATCATGCATGTTTGATAAAACAGCGAAGTTTTCATTAAGATTGCCAAATAATTTTGGCAGCGCACAGTGGTCGTGATGGTGGCCAAAAATACTTCTATTGGGTTGGCAAGAAAGTCACGTCGTTTTTTTTCAATATTTTCAAAGATGATTTATTTATATCAGGACTTATAATTAATCAATTATGTATTGGCCGTTTTGTTCGACCATTAATAACCATCTTTCGGGCAGCTGCATAATTCCGCGCTCGAAGAACTTTTGGTCTTTTCCAGCAAAGAATCGAGACTAGTGGTTTTCGACAGCCTCATCTGAATCAAAGTTTTTACCATTCAAAGAGTTTTGAAGAGAGCGAAAAAAATGGTAATCTGAAGGTGCTAAGTCCGGACTAAAAGGTGGATGTGGTAGCACTTCCCAATTCAGCTCCGTTAATTTTTGCCGAGTGACCAAAGATGTGTGGGGCCTAGCGTTGTCATGGTGAAAGACTATACCCTTGCGATTAGCTAGTGCCGGCTCCTTTTCTTTATTTTTTTTCCGCCAAATTGAATAGCTGGCGACAGTACACATCTGAATTGATGGTTTCATTCCGTCCCAGCAGCTTAAAGTGCACTACACCCTTCCAATTCCACCAAACAGACAGCATAACTTTCCTCTGATGGATATTGGCCTTTGGGCTGGCTCCTTGCTCCATGATCTTTTTCGTTGGACATTATTGTAAACAACCCACTTTTCGTCGCCAGTAATGATCCGCTTCAAAAAAAGGATCGTTTTTAATCCGTTGCAGCAGAGAATAGCAGATGTTGATACGCTTAGTTAGATGAATTTCCTTTAAGTTATGCGGAACCCAAACATCGAGCTTGCCTACGTAGCCAAGTTTCTTCAAATGGTTTTCAACCGTTGTATGCGACACACTGAGCTTCTCTGACATCTCCCCTGTTAAATAACGCCGGTTTTCATCCAGCAAAGCCTGAATTTGTCCGTCAAAAAGGGCCGATGGTCGACCAGAACGTGGGGCGTCTTTAACTCCAAAATCTCCAAGCCTGAATTTGGCAAACCAGCGCTGACATTGGCGATCACTCATGGCATCTTTACCATACACTTCGCACAAAGCAAAAAGCAATATATGCCGAAAATGCTCACTTTGGTCCTCCATGTTTAATTTGCTTTAGTTTTCACAAATTTTATCGAATAATTACCAAATTTTCGTCGATAGTACCTAAGATAGTAAGCTTTAAAAAGATACTAAAAAGTGTGACCCTGGTGCTCGATTAGTCGTAAATAAATTAGATTAAAAACGATTACTAAAAAAAACGACATTACTTTCTTGCCAACCCAATATAAAATAAGTATTTTTTTAGTTTTTAAATAAGTGCTTTAAGTTGGTAGTCCCACATAGCACAAACTAGCGTAATGATTGGGATCTTTAATAAATGTGAAGCTCTAACTTCCACAAGGCATCAACCTCAACTCAATACATCTCACATAAACGGTTTTCATACTGCCAACAGCAGATTATGTATATTTTCTTTTCTATAAAACTGCATCGGCGCTTTATCATTTTTTTTTTAACGAACTGCTAACAAACTTATTAAAAAAAATACATACAGGAGTGTTTTGAGGAATACCAATTATGCAGTGCAATTTGAACATATTCGTGTGTAGAACATTTGCGTCTGTTTCGACTACTTTTCACGTGATGTTCTTGAGTCATTTTTTAATTTCATACCAATTTGATACCCAATAAAAGCTTTCCAAATATTGTAAAAATGGTAATTAAAATGCTGACGGGTAAGAAAAAATTGAGCCCTTTGCAATAAATAGGAAAACTTTCAAATTTTTTGAGCAGAGTTCCAGCTGTTTTCTGTAATGTGGTTTCAATGTGTTTCAATGGAGTTGGTATATTGTCTTTCACATCTGTACTAAGTGGAATTCACCACGTGAATTCACCACTCCGTGAGTGTTATCTTCTCTGCGTTTTGCGCATGTCCCGTTATTTTCGTTGAATTGAAATTATACAATACTAAATAATCTTTTTCAGTTACTGTGTACTAAGTCTAAGAGAAGTTAAAAGTTATTTACTCAATTGATAGCAATCTTAACAAAGAAAAAAATGTGAATATTTAATGGGGAAAACATTACTATGCTTAAGGAAACCTTTAAGATTTCAAACTTAAGTCTTATGAGGTGAAAACAATTAGACTCATTTTCTGATACATCGGTACAATTCAGGGATATGCTATTGAAACCCAATTTTTACATATGCATAATTGCATTCTTATAAATAATCTTGTATGCGTAAACTATGATTACATTTACTGGCTTTAAACTATTAAATTTATTCCATTTTTTTTAGTTCTACAAAAAGCAAATGCATTCGAATCTACACCTTACTGCTTTGTATTTACATAGTATATAAACGTAAAATTGAAAACATCGGGCTATTTAACAAAATGCTGGCTTTTAAAATTGGTGCATATATGCATTTATTTACATTAACATAAGTGCGAAAGTTTGATGTGTATAAATAAATTATATCAGAATATATAAATTATATCAGAAAAAGCATAACTTTTAGTTGTTCCATGTGTAGGAATTTTATCGCTTAGCGCTTAAGCATTTATGTTATGTTATTTGGGCCTAAACCAGTTTTATTGGAAAAAGTTTATTAAAGTTTGTTTACGCAATACCGCAGTTTACAATAATTTTTTACAAGGCATATATAAATTTCAGGTGTTTTGGATGGAATCCGGTGTCTGGCAAAAGCTACCATGTCACAAGATTACTTTATGAGTATTAAACAAGATCGAACAAAACGAATAAATTCCAGATAACAGTCGAGCCAAAAACATTTAAAAAAATATGACGGCAAGTATTTATGTTTGTATTATTAGTATAAAGTTAATAAATCTGTCGTCTCTTTTAGCACTACGCAAGGCATGATTATTTTCATAATACACAAAACGGTGCCTTATCCTCTGACACCGGTCGGTCAACCTACACCCATATTCCTTATGGATCACAGAATAGCACCACAGAGTATTTTAGCGGATCACATGATTTTTCGAATCCAGGACCAGATGAGTACCACCACCTCACCAGTGATACAGTACTTACAAACGTAGATAAAATTAACAATAGTTATGGGTACGACCACTTAGAATGTTATGAAATTCAAGAGCAGCGCGATTTTGAAATGAAATCCGTTGACAATTGGAATGAGAATAGTACGGGTGTCACATCTGAAGAAGGATTTGATTATGGAAATCAAAAATATGGCTCGTCAAAAATATTGCCTAGGCTGCCAATTATTAAAAGCGGAAGCGGAATGGATCCAAAGTTTGGCGCAGAAGGTATGTGCGTAGAACGAGACCAACAATACCATGGAATCTGCATGGCCGAAGCACACGAAGATGACAGTCAGCATTCGCTTGTTAATTACCAGCATATCCGTGCCAATAGTTTTAAGGGATATGCCGGTTTTGCCGGCTCATCGACATTAACAAGCAATGCCACCAACATTCCATCGCGTGCTTTGCCGCAAACAGATCGAGCCAGCATTTATTTTAGTCAAGATTTATTTGGATTAAATGCAGACGCCGCTCACAGGGAAGATCTATCACAAAATCTCTATCTGAACAAAAACTTTACGATGGACCCTGCTGCATCCAGTACATATGATGTTGTGGAACAAATGTCTAGACCATACACTTCCATGTTGCCCATAGATTACTACAGCGACTACCAAGGATGTAATTACAATGCGGACAATCTTTCAACGTATAGCGACACACCACCCTCGAATAATGCGCAACTAAAGCTGCAAAATCAGAGAAAAATCTCGTTGATGATGGCGATGACAACTGCTTCTGTGATAGCATCTGGTGAGACTAGAGTGCCGGTAGTACACTCAAAGCATTTTAAGAAATCAACTGATCCCATCCAAACAGACTCGACAACATCAGGAAACAGCATCATCAATACCAACACTGTTATTAAAAGTTCAGATAATTCCCTTAAGCCAGATTACTGTGGAGGAATTGTCATTTCTTCAAGTGATGCTGGCACCCAAGCTACTACTACAACGTTTTCAAAAACTAGAAAATTGCCAAAAGTTCTCCCAACGCCACAATACAAACCAGTGCATACCTTAAGTAATACAGGCTCCGATACATTAAGCTCGCCATTATACAATTCAGATTCGATAGCAGAGAAAAGTCATCGAGGCAAGCAGCTCCCAAAGTTGCCAATATCATCTCAAACCAAACCATATTCAACGCCCAATCCAAATTCGGTGTCATACTCCGCCCCCGTAACATTATCATCAAATTCTTTGGATGAAAAATCGGCAAAAACAGCTGCAACAACATCATCAACATCGTTTATAACAACATCTAGTGTAGACAGTCATACAACATTTGTTTATCCCAGCGATAGTAACAAACCAGTTGAAGTATTTTCACCGAAATCCATCATCGCTGATATTTCGTCGCCATGGACATCCTCCTCACCTCCTATAGCATCGCAAAAAAATCTCAAGTCTGTGGAGCTTCCATACGATACTATTCAACCGTATTTTTTTAACTCTTTCTTGTCTGAAGAAAACCCCAAGTCAGACATTAAGGCAGACCCACATGAAGCTTTAATCGAACCGATTTCAGAAAGTGAAGAGCCACCCCAGCCATCAAGCAAGCAGGAATCAGCCTTATTTAACATATCTGATTATATGAAGCCTTATACATTAAACCTAAACGATGATAAAGAAAATCATATCACCAATGCTGCCAGTACATCAACTACAAAACATTTCAACTACGGCAACGGGGAGCCCACTAGTGAATTAAGTAATTTA